GGCGCGGCCCGGGCGGGGGCTGTATGCACCGAGCGCCTGCTCTGTGCCGGGCCGCGGGTCGGGGGGGCGGGGGGCGGGGGGGGGCGTTGCCGGCAGAGCCTTGGATAGTGGGGGAGCCGTGACACGCCAGCAAATGAGAGGATCCGGGGTGCCCGTAAGGACTGCAGAGATGAAACAGGTTACGAGGTACAAGGGGCGCGGCTGGACGGCCCCAGCACAGGGAAAGACTCAGGTCCCCGAGCCGCATGTGGCTGTCGAGGCCTTGGAATGTTGACCAGTTCGACCTGAGATGCGACACGTAAGCGTGAGATACACACCCTGGATTTCGAAGATTTAGAATGCAAACGATCTCATGAATAACTTCGTTAATCATGCTCAGTTGATATTTAAATAAAATGTCCTTACAATTTCATCTGTTTCTTTTACTTTCCTAATGTAGCTATGAGAAAATGTTAAATCACCTATGGGGCTCACTTTGTTTCTGTTGGACCACACCAGGCTAGACCTGTTGACTAAGCAGCCATCCTTTCTGCCCAACACCTTGCTCATTTCGTGGACAGCTTTTGAGCCCCTGCTAATGCAGCGACAGGGTACAAAGGCACGTGAGACCCAATGGAGGAACTCGAGCAGCTGTCTTACAGGGTGGTTGAGGATGAAGTGAGTTGATGTCATGTAACATAAAGAAGCTAAAGAGGAAGGCGACTGCCTGGCCAGGTGCCACATCTTCTCCCCCGCGCTTAGAAATTTGAGCTTACGTGCTGACTGAAGACGTTGGGAAGCCATTGAAGGAATTTCAGCTGGGAGTGGCAGGATCCCTCTGCCCAGAGTGTTTCCCCCTGCTCTAGATGTCTCCCTTCTGTCTTTCATCTCAGCTTAAATGTCTTCTCTTCAGCAAGACCTCTCTGGACCTCCCAATGAAAGTAGTTTGCCAGTCTCTAAATGGAACTTGCCACTGATAGTTTTCCTTCTTCTTTATTTATGTATTTGTGGAATTCAAGCAGTAAAGGCAGGAACCTGGTTTGTCTTGTTCATTGCTCTGTCCCCAAATTTAAAAAACAGTGCCTGGCCATACTTAGCAGAGGTGTTTTAGAAAGATTCCTGGCAGCTATGAGAAGAATTGATTTCTAGAAAAGCAAGACAAGATAAGGAAACACAGAAGAGGATTTGAGGGACTATAACCTGTTTTTATTGTGTCGAGTCTGCAGTGGACAATTCAAGGTAAGATGCTCAGCAGGCAGTTGTATACATGGGTGTAGGGCCGACAAAAGATGAGGGGAATAGGGATGAGTGACATCAGATTATTAGGTAATTGAAGCTGTGAGAGTTGATAAGAGCACCCAGCAAAATGGAGAGTGCGTAAAGCAAATGTGAGAGAACGGAACCTTGAGGAATAGCAACGTTAAAGAGGCAAGGGGAGGAAGAGAAAAATCAGAAGGAAACCGGAAGTAGCTCGTAATGCCTTGCCTATGTCTTGTGACACGCAGCATTTGCACCTGGATTCTCTGCATTAAAGTCTTTCTCCCCACCGAAGGAGCAAGTTTTCCAGCAATTAAGGGAGGCTGGAATTTCCAAGGCATTAACACTCCAGGAAGAGTCCTTGACTAGTGATGTGGCGGCCCACTCAGACCCCCAGAGTTGGTATGAAGATTATTTTAAACTAAAGACATTTGAGATTCAACAGATGTAGGAAGAAGCCCGCTTGGAGCTTCCCTTATCTCATGAAAAGCAGAAAGTTCTGGAAGTGCGGCTGCCATAGATCCTCTCTCTGGAGAAGTTTTATGGTCACGAAGAAAAAAATAAAATGGAGATCACTGGCACCTGCATAAATGAACATTATCACAAACTTCCATATCTCGTTTGTTCCTCCCGAAACCCATTTGTTCTTCCCACAGAAGCCTTTTCTTCCCCTTCCTCTCCCCTATTAATTTAAGTATGTAAACCCCCATCTTTAACCAATTAGGGAGTCACTTCATTTCCAGATGCATATGATGAATTTAGAGGTTTCTTTCTCCTGTTAATCTGCCTGTAGTCAGTTAAATTTGCACTGGGAAGTTTTTCCTCCCAGATAGTGGATAAATATCCCAGGGCATTATTTCTCAGGTGGAACAACTTCAAGGTTGTCTCCCAGAGGCCCTTCAGTGGCATCGAGCCCCAGTTGCCCACAGCTAAAACCCGCTCATTAACATGCCCTATAGTATTGCCTTCCTCTCCCTTTCTTACCTCCCCACTTCTCCACCAGTGTTTCTTGGGATCACCTCCCAAATAAGCTGCTTGCATTCAATCCTTTTCTGTTTGCTTCTGAGGGAAGCCAGCCTAAGACATAAACCGATAAAGAGAGGGTAGAGGAAAATGAGAGTCATTTGTGGACACACAGAGGAGAAAGTTTCAAGAAGAAGATGGTCAGCATTATAAAATGCTGCAGGAAGTTGCCCTGCAAGGGTGTTGATGAACTAGGCAAGTTTATTTCGGAGGTATAATGAGAAAAGGCAGATTTCTGTAGGCTAAGAGAAAAAAAGAACGGGGAAGTCCAGCTTTTAAAAATAAGTTATTTGAAAAGGTAAGGTAATGATGATGATTAGAGGAAGACATAAGATTGAGAGTGGTGTTTTATTATAGGAGAGACAAGCACAGTTATATGCCAAGTGAACAGAGCCAGTAAGAGGGGAAAGTTGAAAATTTGGCTGAGAAGAATGATAATTCAGTGGGTGATTTTCTTAAGGCAGTGGGAGAGACGGGACACTGGAAGAATAAACCTCAGACAGGAGAAATACCTCTTCCATTTAGACAAGAGAAAAAGAAGCAAGGATGAGTACATAAGAAGACAAGTTTGTAGGCTTAAGATGAAGTAGAAAAGATGCAATAGCCATTTGTGTTGTTAATGGAGAATGGGTGGGGAATCACGTGAGGAGGCTGGTGGAGGTTTAACACAGCTGTACCGTGCAGATGGGGGAATGTGGACAGAGAGGCCAGGTGGGCGGGCAGAGGGCTTTGCCAAATTTGAATACCAGGCATGCCTAGTGGTATTAATCCAAACTGCTCTGCTAATTCTAAAAGTACTCAATGTTAAAAAATAAATTAACAAAAATGAAAGTACTCGTTTATAGAAACAGAATTTGATGAATCCTCTGCTAGGTTTGCCAAACGGATGGGATGTAAGGTCAAAGGTTCTGGGTGATGGAAAGTATTGACTGAAAGAGCAGTCAGGTGCTGAACGGGCTCGGGGGTCGGTAAGGAAGGAAGTGGAGGTCAGAAGGGGCTGCATGTGTAGAGAAAGCGGGTGTAGGAAATGTGAGTGCAAGAGAGCTAAAGGGCTCAGCAGAGGAAGGATATATATTAGTTTACAATTTCAGAAAGAACAGTTCTACAGCAATTCTCACAGCAGTAGGGCAATTGATGTGGATGCCTGGAAGAGAAGATGTTAAAAACAAAGAGGTTACAGAGACCTTAGGCCAGGAGTGTTCGGTGGGCTGTCCACAGTGAATGTTTGAAGGAAGCTGGCGGACTTGAGTGGGGAGGTAGAACTGCAGGCTACAAGTCTCTGAGAGGTGTGGGGGTGGGATCAGGAGTATGTGCAGGAGTTAATGGGGGAAGGGGGGAAGTCAGAGGGAAGGAGTGGGGACCGCTCCCTTAGAGAGGAAGCCTATCAGTGTGGTTAATACGTAGGTTCTGGAGCTAGACTCCAGGGGTTCGGAATGCTAGTTCTGTTACTCATTAGCCACGAAACTTTGGGTAAGTTATTTGACCCCTCAGCAGAGGTACAGATTCTGGAATCAGAAGTGTGATAACTAAAGTATGGGAATAAATGAGCTTCACGGTGAAGCATGTTAAGGGAGGAAAATGAAGTTCCCAGAGCAGACTAGAGGGGAATGTAGAGTTTCAGGTAGCACAGGGAGACGTCAGGAAATGGGTGAAGAGGACAAGAAGATTCACAAGAGAATGGAAAAGAGAAACACAGAAGGCTGAGACTGGAGTGGTATTTTAGGAGTTGAGCTTTTAGGATTCAGGCAGTTCCTTGTGAGTTCTGATATGTCCTCCAACTCAGATTCTGAAGCTAGCTCAAACAAACTGCTGACCGCTCCAGGCACACTTATCTAGCACAGGCTTTTGAACAAGTCACTCCGAAGACCTGCACTAATATTACAGTTATAACATTCTAAATGGAACCTACCTGTTCTCCCCTGCTCTTTCCCAGCTGCGTCCTTCAACATGGCCCCGGTGGCTCTAATTACGCGTTTAGCACCAAGCATGCATTGCCCTTTACGGTAGCTGTCTTTACAGTAGGAAAGGTAGGACTCTGAAATAGTTGCTCCCTAGCTCTCCTTCCACCACAGAAACCAGCGAATGGCAACCCTTCCCAAGCGTAGAACAAAAAATTAAAACTTGAAATAGAATCTTCTCAAATAAACATTCTGGAAAATGGGGAGCCTTTGATGACAAGGCAATAAACAAATAGAACAAATAACTAGTTGGGGAAAATTCAAATCTGCCCACGCTGGGTTTGCTAGCATTTTTGTGTATTTGAACGTGGGTGCTTCGAGAGCAAAGGATTGGCTGTACGTTATTTACATCGAGATCCAAATCCAATGGGTTTTACCTTCACTTGAATCAAATTTATGCTGCCCTCTAGGGATTTTCTTCCTCTTTCTTTCCATCCAAAGCTTTGTGATTCAAAAAGAATGAGTGGAGAAGGGCTTTTGAAGGAGGGACTGATAGGATATTTTTAACCTTTGTGCTTCAGCCAGGCCCTGTACCCACCCCTGGGACCAAAGGAAGAAAGGTATATTCACGCTTTCAGCCTCTCCTTCTTTAAGCCCTGAGACAAAAGATGTGCCATCACCACCACCCTGCCTCTTACTGAAGCTCTTTGGTCATCAAGTCCTGGAATGAAAAAGCCAGAAAGGGCAAACACATCCTCTAGCCCCCACTGAATAAGTTAGTGTCTGCCGCTGATTACCTTTTTGGAGATACCTAGAAATAAATACAGTCAATTCAGACAGCAGGGCAAAATTAATATTTCTCTTTATTGGATAGTCTCAAATTAGGCTTGAGGAAGAAGAAATACAACTCAACGGCTGGAATGTAAACAGCTGAGCTTACTTTATTCAACACAATGTATCCAAGGTACCCACGTATCAGACCCTCAGCGAAGTAAAAGGTACGGTACAGTGAACAAGACGGGTTGACTCAGCCCTGGAGGAGCTTACATTCTAATGCAGAAAGCAGACAACCGCAAGTTGGAGAGATGCTAAACATGAACAAAGGAGGACACACGGTTTTTTAAAAACCGGGGTTTGGGGAAGCAAGCATCTCATCTACTCCATAGAAGGACTCCTTACGGAGGTAAAAGTAAGCGAATCTGAGGATGCTAGACATTAACTAAGTCAGTGGTTCTCACTGTGGTACTTTGGAAGTGGATGGGTTGTTGGCTTCATAATCGGTGAGAACTATTACTGGCATTGAGTGGAGGCAGCCAGGGAGAACGGATGTCCTGCAGTGGATGGGTGAGTCCCACACAACGAAGAATTATTCTGTACGCTATTCGCTTCTTTAATGTCCTGCTGGACATTTATGTAGGACCTACAGCTCGCCGGAGAGAATATCGTTCATTTTTCCCTCTTAGACAATCTGTTATCCTTATACCAGTTAAGGTAATTGCACTCTTTCCCTTACCACATACAGAGAAGGTATGTGGTCTGGTATGACTCACGCTAACATTGATTTTCATCCTCGAGTCACCCATACCTCTCTTTTCCTGTACTTCTGTATCAGAAGTAGTCTCGGAACGACTCTGAAATTCAAACCTGTTCACTGTAAGTAGGAGTAAATATCTACTTCATGATGTCGGAAAGATAGCATAGTCATGCCTGAGCATTTACATACTGAAAATCCTTTTAGTTTCATTACAGATTTCTTTCTTTCTGTTTTTCCATTTTAACAGAGTTGGGGTGTTAAATGGGTTTTTAAAGAAATTCTTGTATGTAAGTAGATTGTATCACCTAGGAGTGCTCTCAGGCCAACAAATGGGATGTGACAAAAATGTGACTGCTCTGGAAAGGGTGAGTAGATCTGATAGCGTTCATGGTCGCCCTATAACTGGGGGGAGGAGAGGGTGCTATTGGCACTTAGTATATGAGAGCCAAGTATGCCGAACATCTTGCAACATACTGGACAGTTCCTCACAATAAGAAACTATTCTGCACCCTACACGAATTTTGAATGTCTCACTAGACATTCCTGTATGACCTACAGCTCGTCTGCAAAAAATAGAGTATTTCCTCATTTTCTCCATGTTGACAGTCTGTAGATTTTCTTGCATAGTATCTTTATTTCAATTAAGGCTATTTCGATATTTCTCTTATAAGTACTATCATATTCAAAAAAGTTATGCATCACTAGTTTTTATTCTAAGGTCCACTCCTATCCCTGCTTTTTCATTTTCCCATACTTTGTATAAAGTCAATTTTTATCTTCTACCTTCTTGTAAATTTGCCCATTCTAAGTAGGTGTAAACATCTGATTACTTAATTAAGTCTTCTAATATAGCCGTGCCCAAGTAATGTAACTTTTATTTTCCTTTTATGCTAATGTTAATTTTAATTAATTTTAAATTTATTTCTGAAATCATGTGTAGGTAGAGTATATTACTACTGGATTGCACTTTGAGGATAATAAAGCAGATGTTAAAAGGTATTTGTTAAAAAAAAAAAAAAAGGCAGGCATGCTCATTGAGAACCACTGAGCTAGGGGAAAAGGTGTACCAAAGAACTAAAAGTAAGCCAGAGTGGCTTCGGTAGAAGAAAATAAATGATAGAGGGCAAGGGAGGGAGAAATCATGTGGGGCCATAATAATGATTTTGATCTTTATTCTAAAGGCATGATCAGATTTGTGTTTTTAAAGATGATTACGTAAAAGAAAAAGTTAAAATATGACCATTCTTACTGCTAAGTAAAGAACAACTCAGAAGGGGCCAAAGAAATATTTAAGAAGGAAAACTGGACTTGGGAACAGCTTGGGAGAAGGACAGGAAGAAGTCAAGGATGACTTCTGGATAGAGAATACTAGGGGAGAAGGTGATTCGTTTGAAGGAGGCAGATTGAGAATTCCACTGGGGACATGTTACTTTAGAGGTGTCTGTGAAATATCCAAGTAGAGATGCCTAATGGGCAATCAGATTTGGACAAATTGCATCTCTAAAAATGTGAGAACCAAGATCAGGAAATGAAAGCTCCAAAACATGCTACCATAAAAAAAAAAAGCGAGTAAGAGTAACTATTTGTGACAAGCCCACCAGAAAATAACCCTGCCCTAAAAAAATCTCTATACATTTGTTACTGGTGGAGTCCTTTAAACCAAGGGGTTGTGGAGATGTTTGTACTGATCTACAATCTAATATAAAATCAACTCTAATGCTAATTAACTTTGATAACATGTCTGCTGGCAGGAGTCACAACAGGAAACTGGTGAACGTAGGTACAGAATGCTGAACAGAAAAACTGGAAGGAAATATCTGATTCATGATAAGGGAAGAAATCTTGGTCCAGGAACCTCATCTGCTTTAAAAACTGATTGTACTTCAATTCCGTACAATCCGTTATATTTAGGGAAAAAAAGAAGCCCCTTGCAGGTGTAAGACCTGTTTGAAGCATTGCTCTCTTTGTTCTGGTGCCGCGCTCACCAGGAAACAAATCTCGCCTCCTTAAGGGGCCTATCCTTCAGTAGGGATGGCCTTGCTCCTAATTCCTCGATCCTCATCTGTTAGAGCGAACAACTACACTAGCACTCAGGTTTATCAGTCATGCTTCTGTGAGTCTGGTTACTATAACTCAGACCCCCCACAATACAGACACTTCCTGAAAGTCCAACCTGAAAACCTTCTCTATAATCATATATTAGAATATAAATGTCTACTCTGCCATAATGATATAAAGAGCCAGTTTGTGGCTCTTTTCATTGCATCCCAGAGAACGAGCCTGGATGGGGTCCCCTAAATAAACATTAGAGATAAAGAAATGTGTGCCCCAACTCAGTTTTACCACGAAGGTACGGTACAGTTACATCTGTAATGGTATTTAAATTACCTTTTCTCTCCTCCCCACCGCCCCGGCATTTTCCTAAACCTCCCCCCCTCCAACTTTCCATAATCTTCTATCCAAGGTGGTACGGTCTTATGTCCTTACTTCCATAGGCATTTTTAGATTTCTCTCAAATTGCCCAAATTAATTTTCTTTCAATTTAACCAAAATTTAGCCATGTCCTACAGTAAACGAAGAGTAGCCGGGAGAGAAACTTGTTGGCAGTTACAGATGTTTTAGAAATCCGTCTTTCTCAGTTATATCTAAGCCAGTGGTTCCCAAGCTCTATGACACATTCGAATCCTTGGGATTTAAAAAAAGTACCACTGCCGAGCTCTCACACCAGAGACGGTGATTTAGTTGGCACGGGATGCCATCTGAACATTGGACTTGTTAAAAAGCTTCCCAGACGATTCAGTTGTGTAGCAAAGTTTGGGAACCACTGATCTAAGGCATTTGATAACTAGATGAGAAATGTAAAAATGTACTATGTGGGGCAATCTGGCTCAGTAAGTGAACAGAAGGGTGATGGCCTCCTTTATGACTCTGTATTCATCACTCCTAACTAATCACGCAGGGTTTGTCTAGTTCAGTATATTCAATCACATATTCTGGGTAAATCTGATTTTTCTCGAAGATGACAAAAACGGAGGGATTCAGCCTTATATCCACATAGCTGTCATACGGTGGTGGGGGAGGGCCGGTGCTTGCCATCTCTCCTTGAGTAAAATCTCCAACCAGGACTCGAGCTACAAACATGACGATGTTTTTGGTATCACCCTGGCAATTTTTATGGGAATGGATGGCATCTTTTGTGAAGTAAATTCCTAGAAATCATCAGAAAAAGAGAAAGGGTAAAGAATTATTATGAAAGAAGGCACGTAGTTTGTAAGATTATTTACATACCATCAGATGATAAGCGTCCCCTAAGCATGTGTCAGCAACACCTTACTGATACTGATAAACTTTCCTTTGTACTGAAAAAAAATGTTTCTTCGAATCCAGTATATAACCCTACTGAACTAACAGAAACACTTGCTACTGTGCAGGGGCCCCCAGGGATGGTGTGAGCCACCGGGACAGTAACCAAGTGGGGATCTCACAGCAGCCCAAGTCATGCAAATCCTGCAGGGTGAGCTGAATTGTAACTTGATGAACCAACGATACTCCAGCAGAGGCCTTTTTCTAATGTGTACATTTTAAGGAACAAAGGTCATTTACTACCAATGGGAAGGTCCTAGAAAATGTGAAAGAGGGGGGCGTAGTACCAGCAAGCAACTGACCCTGGTAGACCTTTCCAAAACAGTTCATCTATCGTCCTCCTCAACCATAAAGCAACTTCTGCATCACTGAGGTCTCTTTTTTTTTTTACACTTTATTTGAGAGAGAGAGAGACAGACAGAGCGCGCATGCGTGTGTGCGGCAGGGGAGGGGCAGGGGGAGGGAGAGAATCCCAAGCAGGACTCCACTCTCAGTGCGGAGCCTGAGGCAGGGCTTCATCTCACAACCCCGAGATCATGACCTGAGCTTAAATCAAGAGACGGAGGCTCCACTGACTGAGCCATCCAGGCACCTCTGCATCACTGAGGTTTCTCTACACAGCAGATCAACAGTGATCTCCTGACAAATTAAAATTTCTTATTTTAATTTTTGTCATTGCCAGATACTTTTCTCTCTCTCTTTTTTTAAAGATTTTATTTATTTATTTGAGAGAGACAGCATGGGGTCGGGGGGTGCGTGCAGAGGGAAAGGGAGAAGCAGACTCCTGCTGAGTGGGGAGCCTGACACGAGGCTCTATCCCAGGACCCTGAGATCATGACCAGAGCGGAAGTTAGCTGCTTAACTGACTGAGCAGCCCAGTGCCCCAGTTTTCTCTGTCTTTTTAAAAGAATTGTGGGGGTGCCTGGGTGGCTCAGTCAGTTAAGCATCTGACCCTTGATTAGGCTCATGATCTCAAGATCATGGGACCGAGCCCCATGTCAGGCTCAGTGCTCAGTGGGGAGTCCGCTTGAGATTCTTTCTCCCTCTCCCTTTGACCCTCCCCCACTGCTCGCGCTAAATAAATTTTTTTTTTAAATTAAAAAAATAGGGTGCCTGGGTGGCTCAGCTGGTTAAGCGACTGCCTTCGGCTCAGGTCATGATCCTGGAGTCCCAGGATCGAGTCCCTCATCGGGCTCCTTGCTCGGCAGAGAGTCTGCTTCTCCCTCTGACCCTCCTCCCTCTCATGTTCTCTGTCTCTCATTCTCTGTCTCGCAAATAAATAAAATCTTAAAAATAATAATAATAATTAAAAAAATAAAAGAAATGTGTATATATATATTTGAAAATTCTGATTTTGTATGCAAAAGTTAATTAGTAAAAGGAATTCATTTTATTTATGGTAACAAGTGCTTAATATTTTTTCATTTATCTTATTTATTTTTTATTATTATTTTTTTATAATTTAGGTGTTTGAATTCCAGAAATACTGCTTATCCTAAATAGGTCAGATAATGGATATTCTGAGTAAATGATGTTCAACTATATTTGGAATAAGAAATGAAAGTCCACCTATGCTGACCTACCATTTCCCGACCCACTGTCCCTCCCAAACAGTCACTGACTTGATGGGGATTCTCTCACCTGTTTCTAGGCATTTACGTACATATATAACACATTTACTCTGGTACAGCTTGATGTTCTTTTATTTGTTCATTAAGAAGATTATACTGAGGGGCGCCTGGGTGGCTCAGACGGTTAAGCGTCTGCCTTTGGCTCAGGTCATGATCCCAGGGTCCTGGGATCGAGTCCCGCATTGGGCTCCCTGCTCTGCGGGGAGCCTGCTTCTCCCTCTCCATCTGCCTGCTTCTAAGGGCACCTGGGTGGCTCAGTTGGTTAAGCGTCTGCCTTCAGCTCAGGTCACGATCCCATGGTCCTGGGTTCGAGTCCCGCATCGGGCTCCCTGCTCGGCGGGGAGCCTGCTTCTCCCTCTGCCTCTCTCTCTCTCTGACTTTCATGAATAAATAAATAAATAAAAATTAAAAAAAAAAAAGAGGGCGCCTGGGTGGCTGAGTTGGTTAGGCGACTGCCTTCAGCTCAGGTCATGATCCTGGAGTCCCGGGATCGAGTCCTGCATCGGGCTCCCCGCTCAGCGGGGGTTCTGCTTCTCCCTCTGACCCTCTCCCCTCTCGTGCTCTCTGTCTCTCATTCTCTCTCAAATAAATAAAATCTTAAAAAAAAAAAAAAGATTATACTGAATGAACTGCTGCATTTCTTCACACTCTAGTCCTAGAAATTTTGCTGTCACCCCATTTAACCCCACCTCATTCTTTTTAGTGGCTGCACAGGATTCCATTGTATGGAGGTATCATAATTTAACTACTCTTGTATTGATTAAGATGTATGTGGCTTTTATTTTTTTCTATGACCAAGAACACGTCTAAATAAATACTTTTAAAACATCCTAGTAAATATACCTTTGAGAGCCTGTATAAGTATTTCTATAGAACAGATTGCAAAACTATAATGGCTGAGTCAAAGGACATGAGCATATTGCATTTTGACAGATATTACAAATTGCCCTCCAGAAGCAGTCTAAAGATTTTACCAGCAATGGAGAAAGTCCCATTTCTCCAAACCTTGCCAACATTGGATATCAACTATCCTTTTAATTTTTGTCAATACAAAGTACAAAAAAAATCTGATTTTAATATGCATTTCTTTTAATACTAGCGGCATTAAGCATCTTCTCATATGCTTATTGGCATATTTTATATGCTCTTTCTTGGAACTGCTTTTCCATATCTTTTTTTCCTGTTGTATTTTTGTCTTTCTTTTTTTACTGATGTGTGACCACAACAAGCTTATATTTAAAAGACAGTATCCAGGGGCGCCTGGGTGGCTCAGTCGGTTAAGCATCTGCCTTCAGTTCAGGTCATGATCCCAGGGTCCTGGGATCGAGCCCCATATCGGGCTCCCTGCTCAGCGGGAAGTCTGCTTCTCCCTCTCCCTCTGTGTGCTCGCCCTCACTCTCTCTCTCTCTCTCAAGTAAACAAATAAGTCATTTTTAAAAAATATTTTATTTATTTATTTGAGAGAGAGAATGAGAGAGAGAGAGCACGCACAAGAGGGGGGAGCGGGAGAGGGAGAAGCAGGCTTCCCGCTGAGCAGGGAGCCCGATGCGGGACTCGATCCCAGGACTCCAGGATCATGACCTGAGCCGAAGGCAGTCGCTTAACCAACTGAGCCACCCAGGAGCCCATAAACAAATAAATCTTAAAAAAAAAATTTTTTTAAGTGTCCATATGGATCTTTTTATAATCTTATAAAGTAGGCCAGTAGATAATTGGAAAATGACCAAGGACACAAATGACAATCATCATCCCACCACAATTCTATTGGGCCACCCACTCCCACCTCCCTCATTGCCAAAGACCCTCCTCCCTAGCCAGTTCCAGCTCCTCAGTTTTACCAGTTAACCAACTACAGATGCATTCTATACTAATCTGCTATCCCCTGAGGATAGAGGCTGTGCCTTCTTTATTTTAGTTTTATTTAAAGATTTTATTTATTTATTTATTTATTAATGAGCGAGAGCATGCACAAGTTGGGAGGGGCAGACGGAGAGGGAGAGGGAGAGGGAGAAGCCGACTTCCCACTGTGCAGGGAGCCTGACTCGGGGCTCGATCCCAGAACCTCGAGATCATGACCCGAGTTGAAGTCAGACGCTTCACTGATGGAACCACCCAGGCGCCCCTGTGCCTTCTTTATTTTTATTATCTCTCTTTTGACAGTCACCCTCTACAAACTCTCTATCACACAAACTCTGTATCACACTACCCATCTCTGCGCATCCTAGAACAGTCATAAGTCATTTTTAAGTATCTGCAAAGAGCCATTCCTCATAAGTCAATTTCTGGAACTTCTAAACAATTTAAGCTATTTTGTAAGGAAATCTTTCTAAAACATATACATTTCTCTGATTTAAAAAATAGAACAAGTCATTCTGCCCTTTCTTTTCCTGATGCATCAGATGTACATATTAATTCTGGTATCTGGTGTTACAACATAGGGATGCCCTCTTGAGTTACTAAGGGGGACAGAGCCATTTACTCCTATACTAATGGTCTATACACAGCATGAAAGAAAAATGTTAAGTTGTGGGCGCCTGGGTGGCTCAGTTGGTTAAGCGACTGCCTTCGGCTCAGGTCATGATCCTGGAGTCCCGGGATCGAGTCCCGCATCGGGCTCCCTGCTCGGCAGGGAGTCTGCTTCTCCCTCTGACCCTCCCCCCTCTCATGCTCTCTCTCTCTCATTCTCTCTCTCAAATAAATAAAAAATAAATAAAATAAAATCTTTAAAAAAAATGTTAAGTTGTGTTTGTGTCTTACAGATCATTTCCTCTCTCATTCTCCACCTAAAACTGCTAATTTTCTTCTTGCTGCCCACTTCTAGCGCCTCTTTACTCCCACTCCACATTTGCTGGGCTGAGGGAAAAAAAAAAAACCACCACTGTTTTGAAATAAGACTAAATGATTCTGAGAAGCTCCCAAGAAAAAACATACACAATCTTCCATACAAGAATTTTATGACAACAACTTAGGCTACTCATAACACAGTTGTTCACTCTTTCCAATTCCAAGTTATCTTTCAGAAAGTGAATCTTTCCAAATAAGTGAACTGCAGTTATGCATGGAAAAGGTGTCAAATAAATAGTATGGAGTTACTGGTAAAAATATATTTGACTTATAGCAAATGGAATAAAATCAATAGACAAAAATTTCATCCGTATTTTTCTTGAGTGTGCATTTTTCTTGCTTGATAAAAGCCATAAAACCTACTTGGAATATTCAGAGATAGTTGTGCATATTTTAATGGCACTGAGTTACTTTTATATATGTTAAATTATTTTTTTTATTTTGTAATAAAGTCTCAGTACTGATTTGATTATTCAGCTATTTTTTAAAAGATTTATTTATGGGGCGCCTGGGTTGCTCAGTCGGTTAAGCGTCTGCCTTTGACTCAGGTCCTGATCCCGGGGTCCTGAGATGGAACCCCACATCGGGCTCCTTGCTCAGTGGGGAGCCTGCTTCTCCCTCTGCCTGCCACTCCCCCTGCTTGTGTTCTCTCTCTCTAATAAATAAAATCTTAAATTAAAATTTATTTATTTTAGAGAGAGAGGAAAGAGAACGAGCACAAGCTGGGGCGGGGGAGAGAGGGAGAGAGAGAGGCTTGCAAGATGTTTCAGGATCGGATACCAACCCCCAGCTCCAGCTTTATCCTTTGTCATTCCCACCAGACCTTAAATGTCCTGTGCTGTCTACAGCCTCCCTGGCCTTTGTCAGTCTCCGGTCTTCATAAACACTCCTCTCCCAACTGTTTTGTTTTGTTCTGTCTTGTTTTTTTGCCTATCTAGCTTTTGTTTGCCCTAGAGGTCATATTTAGACTTCACAATATGCTGTCTTGTTGTAATCCACTTTATTCATTTTTTTCATTTATCTAGTATAATTGACATAATGGGATAATATTGTGCTTTTCTTTTCTTTTTACAATTCTTGAAATGTAACCATCTTTTATTTTAGCCAGACATATTCTTTGCCTTAGAGAGAATAAGAATCACTGGAAGGAATCTTTAAGGAGAAAGAATCATGGTCAGCTTTTCATTACCAAAATAGGATCTAGATATGCATTGCAAAAAATAGGCTTTGTTAACTAGAAAGAACTCTGAATAAGACCAGGGAAAGGACCTTCTTCTAGGTTAGGAGTCCACAGGGGTCAAGCTGGCTCTGCCTGGGTTCTTCAGGCATCCTGGGCCCCACCATGCTGGGCCGTCAGGGATGACGGACAGGAGTCACAAGAATACGTTTCCCACTTCCTGGTCAGAATACCACCATTCCCATTCTCCGTAGATTCTTTTAGGTTTTCTACATAGACACTCATATAATCAAAAATAACACTTTTGTTTCTTTCTTTCCAACCACTGGGCGGTCCCTGGGTTGCAGAATCTTGGGAGATTTTATAGATGTCGATGGCTGCAGCACCCTGGATCCCAAATATGTTCCCCGGCCTTCTGTGCCTCCCATCGGGCCTCTTGAATCCAATTGGTAACCAGGACCGGTCCTTCTTTGCGAAGCTCCGCCCCCAAGCATGTGCTTCTTTTTCTAATTTCACCTTGCTTCCACTCTTTATCCAAATCGGAGTTTTCATCATCTCCCCTGACTGTGAAGTTGAGTGGCTTTTACCTAACTGTTGTTCTTATCCTTAGTGCAGACTGTTCAGTGGGTCGGCTCCTGCTTCCAGGCCCTTATCAACTCTCCGACTACCCTGTCTTCCCCTCTGACCCTCACTCTCCCATCAGATGCTCTCTTCCCGCCTCCAATTTATCAAAAGGTAGCCCAGAGCCTTCCTATCTTTCCAGGCACATTTTACTCTCCTGATAGTCTCCTTAACACAGTCACATGCTTTTGCATGTAGGTAACAGCCTAACGGGAGAAGTTTCATGTGTGTGAAAGGGGGGGCTTTGTTTTCCCTCAGAGAGGAGGAGTATCTCTGAGGTCTACCACTTGGCCTCTTTTAGGACAACTGCCTGAACTTTTTAAGATTATGGGCGCAACGGTTCATACCCGTCTATCTAGCCAGGACTGATACCATCACGGGTGATGCAAGGGGAAAGTTGGGATGAAAAATAAATACAAACAACACAAAAATACCTCCTAACTCTGGGTAACAGGAGGCAGGCCGGGTAGAAGGATCACCACCTTCTCAAGGGAGGGTGACACGGGAAAAAGGGGCACAGTTCCTGAACAGACACCTTGCCCATCTGTGAGAACTGCAGACTCCATCTTTGTCTCTTTGTTCCACACCACTCACAGGGGGTTTTCTTGGCTATTAGGAACTCTCTTCTTTTATCAAGTTAAAGGAAAAGTGATAGTAAGTGAGTAACACTATCAAACTATCGGGATATATTTCAGAGGGTTTCAGTGCCCTTTCATGTATAGGAAAAACAGACTACACGCCCATGCATGTCACCACCAGAGCCAATTAGGGCCAAAACCTAAGAACACGTATGTATCATATCTCCATTTTCTACAATAAATATTCCTTTGAGTTCTAACATAAGAGAGACAAGGTGGTCATCCGGCTTTCTCCAAACATTTCTAGGTAAGTTTCAGTGAGGCTTTTTTTTTTAAGTTTATTTATTTACTTAAGTAATCTCTACACCCAACATGGGACTTGAGCTCACAACCCTGAGATCAAGAGTCGCATGCTCTTCCAAATGAGCCAGCCAGGCACCCCTTTACTGATGCATTTAAACTTAATACACATGAAATTCTCATCAAGTCATTCCCCAGCTTAAACTCCTTCATTAGCTTCCCCTACCCTCAGGGTCAAGTCTCAACTTCTTCCTGTGGCGCCATATCTTACACCACTTGTCGCTCACTCTCCACAGGGACTCTGATGTAGATGATCCCTCCTGTGCCTTTCCTTGGGAACACCTCTCCAGCCAGGTTAGGTGTCCATAGGACCTGTTCACTCCCTCCACAGTAGTTACACAGTTGCAATCATTTGATTAATTATGTGAAGTAATTCTGGTGGGGGCCCATGTCTACTTTGTTCACAGCTACGTCCCCCAGTATCTAGTGTGTAGAAGGCACTCAAAAATATTTTTTGGCTGACTGGTGGGTTCCTTGCTTTCCCCAGTGTGTGTGAATTTAATCTTCATTGTAGGAGTTGAGCCCACTTTGAAACTTGATATACTATTAGTTGTTCTCTTAAGATGAGTGATTCATTGTATTTGCTTGTTTTAAGACTTACATAGAAGGTACAACCCAACACCAAAAAATAATCTTATTAAAAACTGAGCAGAGGGGGGCGCCTGGGGGGCTCAGTCATTAAGCGTCTGCCTTCGGCTCAGGTCATGATCCCCGGGTCCTGGGATCGAGCCCCGCATCGGGCTCCTTCTCAGTGGGAAGCCTGCTTCTCCCTCTCCCTCCTCCCCTCCCCCCACTCCTGCTCTCTTTCTTGCTCTCTCTCTCTCAAATAAATAAAACCTTAAAAAAAAAAAAAGAGAGAGAGAAAAAAGAACCCATCAGTGGCAATGGCAGGCCACTTATAGCAGCTTCGCAGGGTTGGACTTAAGTCAGGAAGAGCCATAGGTAGAAGTGAATAGTAATGGTAGACAATGTAGCCAACAGGTAAAAGAGGTTGCAAACATGTATGAGACCCTTCCATCCATCCACCTCCCAAAAAACCCAAGACGGGAGCAGGGCTATGTTACAGCAATCAAGTCCCAAATCAATGTACCACTCTAATTTGGGCAGTTAAGGTTAACATGAGCTTAATTCTCCATGCAAGCAAAAGCCCGCACATGCTGGTTAGTACCAAATCATGGCTTATACTCGTAATAGAGCCTGAGTTATGACTCTACCATTCAGGTTTCTCTATTCCAGCACAAACCTTTTCCATATTTGGTTTCACCAGTTCCATGTAAGATCCAGTCAAAATTATTCTTACAGATAGACTCCACATGGATGCGGCTTGTTGCATAAAACAGAGTTTTTTCCGTTCTGTTGTTCATCTTCAATTTTTTCCTAATAGAGAAAAATGTGAGCCTTAACAACCAGAGCATTCCTCTCCCACTATGGTTAATGACATTAATCCCAATAAAGTCTAATCATCTTAAAATTGGATTCCACCCATTTTCAGAAGGGAGCTTCTAACATGAATGCACCAGACACAGAAAAGTGAATTTGTGAGAACTTTTAAATGATAGACACATTAAATCAGAGAGTCGTAAAACTGGAGTTGAAAGAGAGAAGTTCGAATTTACAAAATGAAAAAAACAACCAGACACTGAAGAAACTCTTGACTATAAAATAAACCAGCGAATAGGTTGTAAAGTATATTAGCCCTTAACTAATCCTTTCAAACTTTACGTTAAAAACAAAACAAAACAAAACAAAAAACCTGAGAATGTGGCCACCAACCTTTCAAAAGTATTCAAGAGCTTTGTGTTCTTGATCTTCTTTATCTTTTCAATCTTGAAATTTTTCATGGAAGTTTTAAAATATTCACTTATCATGGTATATTCCGGACACCGATTATCGATCTCTAACAACTAAAAAATTTGAAAAATACGTATAATGTGAAGCAGGAGACGTTTAAAGCATGATTATGTCCACACGCGCGGCCCCCTATGCCACGGGGTATCCTTGCCAGGCCTGGCTTACCATAAGCTGGCTTAGGGTTTCCACATCTGGAGGTTCCTTTTAGTGATGAACTAGTTGGCACCGGGTTCCTCTGTGCAGGCTGACTTAGGGCTAGCATTATGCTTAAAGGCAAAGGGACGCCCCCGGAGGCGTCGGATTTACTCTAGTGACCTGGTGAGTTCCTTTGCCTAAAGCTAGAGCAAGGCACCCAAGCAGAGAGGCCTGCCCCCAACGCTGGAGCATGATGTGGAAGCTAAGTAACCTAGAGTCTTGCCCCATCCAAGTTAAGTGAGGGGGTGAGGCAGTGTGCGTGTGCGCGGCTGGATGATGAGGTGCCCTGTGGAGAACAGCTGCTCTCTGGGAAGCCAACACAGTTACCATTTGGATGCCACCGAATCTTGACCCAAGAGTTTTACGGAAACCATTCATCCTTTCATCCAAACAAATACACACATTTACAGCTAAGTACTTTCCCCCCACTTTAAACAATTTACACACCAAAAAGCAAAAACCAAGTACCTCATATTCACTCGAGCCAAAGTCCCACTGAGGAAGCAATGTCGACGATAGAGGGTCTGGCGGGGTCTGCGCTGGCTGACAGCTACAGAGAAGAGAAAGACTTCACTTCGTTCCCTGTTCCATATGCCCGAGTTCTGTCCCAAAGTTCCAGCCACGAAGCCCAGGTTTCCCAGAGAATTTTTTCTTTGTATTTTATTTTGGATTATATTCCTGCATAGTCCTGGTATAGATGTACTAGTAATCATGCTTTAAAAAAAATAGTCGTTATTCATAATTTGGTAAATTAACGTGATTTTCCCATTGATTTAAAATGCAAAAGCAGGGGCGCCTAGGTGGCTCAGTCATTAAGCGGCTGCCTTCGGCTCAGGTCATGGTCCCAGGGTCCTGGGATCGAGCCCCGCGTCAGGCTCCCTGCTCCACGGGGAGCCTGCTTCTCCCTCTCCCACTCCCCCTGCTTGTGTTCCCTCTCTCGCTGTGTCTCTCTCTGTCAAATAAATAAATAAAATCTTTAAAAAAATAAATAAATAAAATGCAAAAGCATTCATTCCTTTTTTAGATTCCTGCTCAACCTTCAGAGGATCTAATACGTGAGCATTAAGATATCTTACAGCATCTTTGTGAAACAATGAACACTGAGGCACAGGGAGAGGTACACTGAGGCACAGGGGAAGAATTCTGCTGTCCTTCCTGTAGGAACTATATTTCAGAGTATAGTTCCCCCAGGAGGAAAAAGTCTTCTTTATAGACAATTCACAGCTATTAATTGCAGAATTGACAGAATTAGAAAACCACCAGTTTTTAACCCCTAATGAAATAATGGATTGAAACAATGACCCCCAATAGCTACGATAACTATCCAGTGAAAGATCAGATGTTGGAACAGAGGGGTCAGACTCGACCGACCAGCACCCCCTGGCTCATCTTCATCACTAAGAATAGGACAACTAGACGTTATGTACCTCTTATTACGATGTGGCAGGAAGTGCAAAGTACCACTTCTATAGTTTTCTTGACCAAAAATGGAACCTGAATCTAATCAAGCCTCTAAATCGAACCAGCAACTCGCAGAAATTACTTATCAGATGGGCATACAGGGCATACAATTTGATACATTTTGAATTTGGGAAATTCTGTAAGGACAAATCACCTAATTTCTTAAAAAAAAAAAAAGTAGAGGAGGGGAAATGTAATAGATTAAGAGGCTTAAGGGACAAATCCACCAAATGCAATGTACATACCTTGTTTGGATAAAAATTTATATAAATCAACTAGAAAAATGTCATGCTTGATTTTACACCCACCTTGAAATCTGTTTTATGTAACCTTATTATCACCTGGAGGGGGGAAAAACCCATCTCCACAACCATTCATGAACAACGTAGATTTTTCTGAGTTTTCATGAGGAGACAGAGGAGTGACACTGAATCCCCCACAGCAAAATTTCCTTTAAACAATCCCCTTTTGGGCGCCTGGGTGGCTCAGTCGGTTGGGCGACTGCCTTTGGCTCAGGTCATGATGATCCCAGGGTCCTGGGATGGAGCCCCGCATCGGGCTCCCTGCTCTGCGGGGAGCCTGCTTCTCCCTCTCCCACTCCCCCTGCTTGTGTTCCCTCTCTCGCTGTGTCTCTCTCTGTCAAATAAATAAATAAAATCTTTAAAAAAAAAACCAATCCCCTTTTATCAACTGTATCATTGTCCAAATCTCCTCCCTCAGGCAGCTAACACATCCCTCTCTTCTTCCATTTCTTTCTCAGCAGCCTCCCTTCTGTAAATCCACTCAGCAAAACTGAAGACACACAGAACCCACAGCAAAACAAAACCCCTTTAACCGTGCACTTGATTATTTCCGAGGCTCAGCCCATCAGGCCAGCCATTCACAGTGAAGGAGCTGAGGCCCAGGTATGGGAGGCTTGCCCGAAGTCCCCTGGGAGTCAGAGGGAGCTGGATTTCCTGCTCGTCTACCCCTACGGGCACACTGTACTGCTTCATGAGCACAGATGATGCGAAAGGAAACCACTGTGTAATGAAAGCAGGAAGATTTCAAGAACACAGATTCATGAGTAAATTGGTGAGATCAATGGGTGACCATTTCAAACATCTGCCGATAGCCAGTGTTTCCGAACACTTACCTGAGCCCACTTTTAATCTGCTCCACAGCCTTGTAAGACATAAATGTTGGCCTTCTGACAACATCCTTTTGGGTCTTGGAAGCTACATTTGTTTGAATCATGCCTTTAGAGAGAAAAAGGAAAACAAACAAGAACCAAGAATTAGTCCTAGAAAATGATGTCCTGTTATTTTTCATAGGCTAGTCACACAGCAAATATTCATGACTGAACTGTAACATGTATGAACAGAGAAAATCCTTTCAGATGGGAATGGCTCATGATTAAAAACCTGTATCCTGGGGCACCCGGGTGGCTCAGTGGTTAAGCGTCTGCCTTCGGCTCGGGTCGTGATCCCAGAGTCCTGGGATCGAGCCCCACACCAGGCTCCCTGCTAGGCAGGAAGCCTGCTTCTCCCTCTCCCCCTGCTTGTGTTCCCTCTCTCACTGTGTCTCTGTCAAATAAATAAATAAAATCTTTAAAAAACAAAACAAAACAAAAAACCTGTATCCTTCACTGCCCTTATGATAAGACCCAGAAAACAAAGAGGCAATGAGATGAGCAGTCAGCAATTAGTCGAATCTGTAAATCAAAGTCAGATAGTAAAGGGAAGGACTAGGGCAGCCAGATAACAAGACATCATCCAGGTAAGCTGTCCTAAACCAGGCAACCATGAGTATAGGTTAGAATGTGGTAGCTATATCTTGAAGGATTTTTCTGTATCAAGTGTGAAATGTCATTTTCAATTCATGCATCTTGTAGACCCAGGTCCAAGTTGCAGTCAGAGGGAGCTCTTTAAAAAGAAAATCATCTGGGGCGCCTGGGTAGCTCAGGCAGTTGAGCATCTGACTCTTGGTTTGGGCTCAGATTGTGATCCCAGGGCGGTGGGATTGGGCTCTGCATCGGGCTCTGCACTCAGCGGGGAATCTGCCTGGGATTCTCTCTCCCTCCTCCCCTGCCTGTCCCCTCACGCACGCACTGGTGCTCCCTCTCGTTCTCTCAAATAAATAAATAAAAGCTTAAAAAAAAAAAAAAAAGTAAATCCTCTTACCTTGCTAGTGAAAGTATCAGTTTCTTATAAAGTTAAACATATAGTACCTACGTGATCTAGCAATCCCACTCCTTTATATTTACCCGAGAGAAAAGAAAACTTACATCCACACAAAGACTTTCACTTACATGATCCTAGTAGCATTATTCTAATAACCGAAAGTGAAAACAACCAAAATACTCACTAAGTGTGAATGGATAAAAACAAACCATGGTATAGCCTTACAATGAAGTATTACTCAGCATTGAAAAGGGAAGAACTCCTGCACATGCAACAACATAGATGGGTCTAAAAAACATTGAGTGAAAGAAGTCAGCCACATGCAGAGTACATACCACAAGGGGCTCTTTATATGATGTTCTAGAATAGATACGACTAATCTATAGCGACAGAGCAAATGGGGGTGGGCAGAGACCAACTGCAAAGCGGCATGAGGAAACTTTTTGGACTGCTGGGAATGTTCTAGATCTTGATCAGGATAGCAGTTGCATGCATATGTCAGCGCTCATCCAACTGCACACTCAAAATGGATGCATTTTGGGGCACCTGGGTGGCTCAGTCAGTTAAGCCGTCTGCCTTCGGCTCAGGTCATGATCCCGGGGTCCTGGGATTGAGCCCCACGTTGGGCTTCTGCTCAGCGGAGAGTCTGCTTCATTAGTCTGCTCCCTCTGCCCCTCCCCCTGGCTGTGCTCTCTCTCTCTCTCTCTCTCTCAAATAAAATCTTAAAAAAAAAAAAAGGATGCATTTTATTGAAGCCATTATGCTTCAGTATAGTTGTTGCAAAGTGAAACAATCATAAACAATAAAAAGATAACATGAGATGGTGTGGGGATCCTGGGTGGCTCAGCCGGTTAAGCGTCAGACTCTTTTTTTTTTTAAAGATTTTATTTATTTATTCATGAGAGAGAGAGAGAGAGAGGCAGAGGGAGAAGCAGACTTCCCACGGAGCGGGGAGCCCGATGCGGGACTCAATCCCAGGACTCTGGGACCATGACCTGAGCCGAAGGCAGACGCTTAACCATCTGAGCCACCCAGGCGCCCAAGCGTCAGACTCTTGATTTCGGCTCAGGTCATGATCTCAGGGTTATGAGATCAAGCCCCAGTCTGGCTCCAGTCTCAGTGGGGAGTCTGCTCTACTCCCTCTCCCTCTGTTTGACCCTCTCTGCCCTTCCCCCACTCATGCGTGTGCACACACCCCCAAAATAAATAAATATATCTTTTTTTTTTTAAAGATTTTATTTATTTATTTGAGAGAGAGAGAGTGAGAGAGAGCACACGAGAGGGGGGAGGGTCAGAGGGAGAAGCAGACTCCCTGCCGAGCAGGAAGCCCGACGTGGGACTCGATCCAGGGACTCCAGGATCATGACCTGAGCCGAAGGCAGTCGCCTAACCAACTGAGCCACCCAGGCGCCCATAAATAAATATATCTTAAAAAAAAAATGAGGGGTGCCTGGGTGGCTCAGTTGTTAAGCATCTGCCTTCGGCTCAGGTCATGATCCCAGGGTCCTGGGATCGAGTCCCGCATCGGGCTCCCTGCTCCGCGGGAAGCCTGCTTCTCCCTCTGCCTCTCTCTCTCTCTCTGTCTCTCATGAATAAATAAATAAATAAAATCTTAAAAAAAAAAAAATGAGATGGTGCCACAACTCTGCTCCAAACCTTCTTGTGGCTCTCATCTCTTACAGACCTTCTCACTGTTCTTTGAAACCTCCAGCTTGTCTGCAGTTCACACTCTTGTCACCAGCCCCTCCCTCTCTTGGGGGCCCCTCCTTCCCATGTGCACGGCTGCTCCCTTCCTTCCAAAGGTTCCTCCCAGGACAAAACTAGATGCTCCCCTAGGGACTCCTCCAACTCTCTGGCTTCTTCATCACACTGCTCCATTTTCCCCAGAGCTGTTACCACTTTCGCCTGTTGCCCACACCTAGAACAGTGCCTGGCAACACAGCCTGCACTCTAGTACTAGTTTAACGAACGTCAGAATACAAGAAATAGGAAAAAATCACCTAGAACACCACAAACTGCTCTGAACTAGTTTCTATGAACCTAGTGAACAAAATTGCTGGTCAAATTTCTCCAGATTCAGGAACAAGATACATTATCAGTTCTCCTCTCTCCAACACCTTTTTAAATTGCCAAAACAAGAGAATAATACCCAAAGGAAAAAAATCTTCGATTTAAGACATTCTTCATTTCGCCACCTGACAGAAGAGATTTCTGTTTTCTACCTATTCTCTTCTGGTCTTGGTCCACATGCATACATCGTTGCATTTACCAAGCATATTAAATTTTTTAAAAAAACTTTTCATTTGGGGGGAAAAAAAAAATCTTTTCATTTGAAATACAACACCTAAAGAGAAAGGCACAAAAGCATCTATTTGAGAGTTTGCCTTTTTCATTTAACAATATTAAATTTTGCTCTTACTGTGCAGTTTTCATAACTATAATTTTTTAAAGATTTTATTTATTTATAAATAAATAAAGAGAGATAATGAGAGCAGGAACACAAGCAGGGGGAGTGGGAGAGGGAGAAGCAGGCTTCCCGCTGAGCAGGGAGCCCGATGTGGGACTCCATCCCAGGACCCTGGGATCATGACCTGAGCCGAAGGCAGACGCTTAACGACTGAGCCACCCAGGCGCCCCAAAGCTGTATTATTTAATACACAGTAATTGGTACAGGGCCCAAACCTCAGGTACCACCTGGAAGGTCAAGGACCTGAGAAAGTCTTTACCTCTTTCAAAGCATCCGCAGGGCTGGTCCCAAAAGAGCAACCATCTGACCATATGCAGGGAGGTGTCCCAGGGGTGCAGCTGATGGGACAGTACATTCAAAGGGAAGGCAGTTCCTGCCCTGATTTCTTACTAAGCACAACAGATTGCTAGAAGCTAAGCTGAAGGCCTTTCCATGGTGGCTCAAATAAACATGGTGGAAGGCAAAGTCTTTAGAAAAGGTGATGGATAAAACCAACCACCTAGATGATGAAGCCCAAAAGGAACAGCAAGGTTCTACAAGTCCGAAGGCACCAGTGGGCCCAAAGTCTCTAATGTTGTCAGAGCCGAGGTTCTTGGGCCCAGGCCTTCTGACAGCCGCAGGCTCCCACCCCAGCGTACCGTGGGCCTTGCTGAAAAGCACCCAGATCCTCGGTACAGCATGCACATGCACCTGCGCTCTGCTCCCACCCCCATGTGGACACCGCATGCCAGATCCGAACAATGGGCACCACTGCCAAACGCAAAGTCTTACCCACAAAACTCAGCTCATAGCTCCGTGAACCCGCCTGAAACGGCACGATGCCCACTGGGTGGCGTAGAAAGATGGACTCCAGGTAGGAAGAGTTGATGCTTAAAGCCTGCTGATCACCAGTCTAATTAAAAAACAAAAACAAAAACAAAAAACTGAAACAAAAGGTAAAGACACTCAGGGTAGGCTTTTAAGAAACCTCTACCATGGGGAAATCAGGGGGGGAGATGAACCATGAGAGACGATGGACTCTGAGAAACAAACTGAGGGTTCTAGAGGGGAGGGGGGTGGGAGGATGGGTTAGCCTGGTGGTGGGTATTAAAGAGGGCACGTTCTGCATGGAGCACTGGGTGTTATACACAAAGAATGAATCATGGAACACTTCATCTAAAACTAATGATGTAATGTATGGGGATTAACATAAGAATTAAAAAAAAAAAGCACTATGAAAAAAAAAAAAGAAAAAAGAAACCTCTACCATTATATCTTATAAAACTGTATTTTAGCCATGGGATTTCAAAGGAACGAATCTTGCCTCCCAAACCAGACCGTAAAGGCCGCCGGGTTGGGGCCGCGTCACACCATCTTGTGGCGTCCCCATCACGGGGTTAGAGGAGAACAGTCTACCTTGCAGAAATGGACCATACGCTTGTGGGTGCCCGAAAAATGGAGCTCTTTGCAATGTCCTTTTTACACCTTCTGTAAAATAAGACCCAAGCGTACAGAGCCACTTATACCCATGGTACAGAAATCACGTCTGCCCTCCCTAACAGAATCCAACACTCGGGCATGAAGTAGAACAGCATAGCTGTTTTTAGCCCATCACGTGTGAGAAAGCAGTTTCGAGCTGTTGTAAAAGGCAGGGAAGCTCCAATGGGCGTACTGTGGTCCAAATGTAAATGACCTCCCCCTTCTCCGCTGCCCTGAACCACGTATGCAAATGAAATGGGACCCTGGGGTCCCATGTCCCAATGGGACAACACTGAAAAAGCGCTTGGATTTGCCACTCCCTGGGGCTGTAATGAAAGAGGCAAGGAATACCGCCCCCAACATGTAAAGATGGAATCTCTGGCCTCAAGGCCTGCATGAAGGGCCTGAACCTCAGAACGGGTGGGTAAAGAGAAGTGTGTTGATTCTTTTTTTTTTTTTTTTTTTTATTTATTTATTTGAGAGAGAGAATGAGATAGAGAGAGCATGAGAGGGGGGAGGGTCAGAGAGAGAAGCAGACTCCCTGCTGAGCAGGGAGCCCGATGTGGGACTCGATCCCAGGACTCCAGGATCATGACCTGAGCCGAAGGCAGTCGCTTAACCAACTGAGCCACCCAGGCGCCCCAAGTGTGTTGATTCTAGCAAGGAGACAAGCTGGCCACCATTCCACTGTCTACACCCTATGCAGGGGTGGCAGACCAGGGCAGACCCGATGTAAGCCCTAATAGCAGGAGTTCCCAATATTTAATGGTGAAGAGACACTTGTTCCTTATGATCTAAATGGAGGAGCTAATGACAGCAAATTCCCAGCCAGTGGCAGGGAAGGGCTCCCCGTCCCTTTAAAGACACTGCTGGCTCCGCAGCTTTCAGCTGTGCCCACCTCCCCGCCCACCTCTCCCCCCTCCCCCCCCGCCCCCTTCCAACCCCTCCCCCTTCCCCTCCCCCCTATCCATCCCTCCCCCCGCCCTCCCCGGTGAATATGCCTGCTGGATGTAAGGGGAGGGGGCCCACAGTGAAAGCCTCCAAGAGGGCGCCTGGGTGGCTCAGTTGGTTGGGTGACTGCCTTCAGCTCGGGTCATGATCTCGGAGTCCTGGGATCGAATCCCGCATCGGGCTTCCCGCTGGGCGGGGAGCCTGCTTCTCCCTCTGACCCTATCCCCTCTCATGCTGTTTCTCTCTCTCTCTCAAATAAATAAATAAATAAAATCTTTAAAAAAAAAAAAAAAAGAAAACCTCCAAGGAAAATGTCCTGGACAGAGAAGGTCCTGAACTAGGTCTCTTTAGCCTGGAGAGGACTATGGTGAGGACAGATACCCGCACACAGTGCAAAGCGGGAGTAAACCAGAATGAGGTTCAGAAGGTAGAACCAGGACAAACGGCTGGAAGTGACAAGGAGGCTACCTTTAGCAGAACTTCCGAAACTACAGCCTCCAACAATTAAGTTACACCTCGAAGAGGTTTGTTGCGACAGCTGGTGGGGCATTATCCACCAGGATAATTGTAAACGAGATTGCCATGATTAGATGATGTGGGGGTGAGTCACATGCCTTCCTGGGACCCAGAAGAACAGCTGACGTGGGCAAACGCCTACGAACACAGAACACAGCGGGCGGCGAGGCAGATCTGTCACCTCTGGGGACCCTCACCCGCCAGCTCGAATCTCTGTCCTAACCTCCCATTCTGACAGCTCAAGTCCCACATCCTTCAACTGCCAGCTCAGCTCGGCAGGACCCTGTTCCGGGCTGGAAGCAATCTACCAAGCGCTGGGCCAGGGCCTTTCACACTTTAATTTGTGTGTTAAAATGCAGATGTCAATTCCGGGAAAGGGTTTTTAATTCTGCGTGTCAAAGAGCTCCCATGGTGCCAGTGTTGCTGGTCTGCAGACCAGAATTTGACTAGCAAAGCTTTCAGGTCTAGATCAGTGTTGTCCGCTGGAACTTTCTGGAACATTTCACTGGAAATATTCTGTTTTCCTGTATGATAGCCACTACCTACATGTAGCTGTCGAGCACTTAAATGTGACTAGTGTGACTGTGGAACTGAAGTGTTCATTTTATTCAAACGTAATGAATTGAATTAAAATGAAATAGCTCCCACGAGTGGCTGGTGGCTGTCATACTGGACAGAGTGAGGCAATTTCAGTGTCTGAGCGTTGGGACAGCCCAGCATGCCTCCCACTTGGTCCCTCCTCAGGCCCTTCCCTCACACTGTACTTCAGTTCCGAATAAGTGAAGGAGGAATGAGGGAGAGGGCCTTCGATGATTTATTCTCCCAAAACACTTGAACGTGTATCTCCATTCCAGTAACCAAGTCTTGGCTTTTGTGCTGTGCCCACATGCCCGCCCTGACCTTGGTTTCTAGCGCGATGGCCTGCCTTTGCCTTGGGCGATTCTCTCAGGCCAGGGACCCCTGCCCCTCGACGCCACGGCTACTAAGCTCAGCTCCCAGCTAGTCAACCTCTCTGTGGGGCTGGATCTGCAAGTGCTGCCCATGCAAACCCCATGGCGACCAGGCCCTGCCCTCCGGTCACTCCTGCTGTCACTCCATCTTGCACCACTGCTGCCCACCTGCCCAGCTATTCAACCATCGCTCCTCCCAATGCCACATCCTCTCCCTGTCTACCATCTCTGTCGGGACAAGTCCCGGCTCAGCACCTGAAATTCCATAAAAGGATATCAAGTCTACATTCCAAAGAGTTCACAGTCAAAGCATATGTACCTACCCATGGTTGGCAAAAGCTCTTCTCCCAGTTTCTACTAGGGAGGCTACTAACCCAGAAATCTCAGTTGCCCCAACTCTTATTAAAAACTCAATTGCAAGAAATAAAACCTGCAGGACTCTCCCTATCTGAAGGCTATGCAGTCCACTCTTTTCTCCAAATATTCTAACCTCTACACTGGGTCAAACCAGGCCATCAAAGAGCTAGCTGCAGACTTGACCCATACACACTGAACTCTGAAAGAAACCAGGCTGCTCATCATGTTGTGGTTCAAATCTCCTCAGACCGCCAATTTTTATTTCACTTGGACAGACAGCAAGGAAAACAGCAAATCTGGGGCCTTTTTTTTTTTTTTTTTTTCTTTAATAACAGAAGAGCCAATTCAATGTATATAATGATGGGTCTAGTTAATATGAGAAAATAATAATTTATTCACCTCACCAAGAACATGTGCCACAGATTAAAGGAACCTGACAACATTCTACATGTTTGTGTAAAGTTCCAGGCTACATTCTAGAACTTTGCATTTAACACAGATTGAATGTCCCAGGGAGAACTTTATATCAAGAAGTTCTATCAGACGGGACTCCTGGGTGGCTCAGTCGGTTAAGTGTCTGCCTTTGGCTCAGGTCATGATCCCAGGTCCTGGGGTCAAGCCCCACGTGGGGCTCTCCACTCAGCCGGGAGTCTGCTTCTCTCTCTCCCTCTGCACCCCCTCCCCCTGCTCGCGCTCTCCCCCTGCCTGCCACTCCCTCTGCTTGTGCTCTCTCCCGCTCTCTCTGTAACAAATGAATAAAATCGTTTTATCTGAATGTTTTTTTTTTTTAAGATTTTATTTATTTACTTGACAGAGAGATACAGCGAGAGAGGGAACACAAGCAGGGGGAGTGGGAGAGGGAGAAGCAGGCTTCCCGCTGAGCAGGGAGCCCGATGTGGGGCTCAATCCCAGGACCCTGGGATCATGACCTGAGCCGAAGGCAGACGCTTACCGACTGAGCCACGCAGCCGCCCTTATCAGAAGGGATTTCTTGATGTTTTACTAGGGAACATGAGCACTGGAACCTGTGTACATTTAAATATCATCTTTTCCCCACTGACAGTTCTCCTTGGTGTCTGGGACCCCTGATGTCACTAAAATGCAAATCTTTTCCAACCCTCTTCCCCATCTTACCAAAAACTGCAAGTTCCTGACATAAGAACCACTGAGGCCTGAGCGCCTGGGTGGCTCAGTCGGTTAAGCATCTGCCTTCCTCTCAGGTCATGACCCCGGGGTCCTGGGATTGAGTCCCGCAGCAGGCTCCCTGCTCAGCGAGGAGCCTGCTTCTCTCTCTGTCCCCTCCACCCACCCCCCCATGTTTGCTCACTCTGTCTCTCTCTCGCAAAAATAAACAAAAATACTTAAAAAAAAAAAAAAAACCACTGAGGCCTATAGCTTGTTTTTACTTTAACCAAGGCTAATTAATTTGAGTTTGTAGTATCTATTTCCACAGCCAACTCACAGAATCACCTTTACAGAACTGCACTTTGACACCATCTTTGGCTTGACCGTGGAGAGAACCCGGACAGATCTTGACATCACGAGGGTTTTCACGCCATACTGTTCCACAAGCCACCACAGGAGAGAGAAGAGCGAAGGGGACAGACACCAAGACACTGGGCTCTGAGCCCCTCTCCTGCTTCCACAGGGCAGCTCTGCTCGGCTCTTGCTTGTTCTTTTGGGTTCTGTGAGCGACGGTTTGCTGACATGCACCTGCTGCTAAGACCGGGGGAAACCACCGTACTAGGCAGAGTTGGAAGGGCTCCTGGGGAGGACATCACTGGCGGCAGTGCACTTGCTCCCCTCTCTGTGGCCCCAAAGGAGAGGTTTTCCTCAGGTTCCACGGACAGAAAAAAGCAGTGCTTCTCCTGAGGAACTGGTGTGTCCTCCCGCAGACGCACAGGTGATCCTGTGACGAGGGTGTTTCTCCACGTGCTTTGGATGCGAGGCAGCTCACAGCCAAACTCATGGCCCATCGACTTCTACGTGGAATAAAACCTTTTGCTGGCAATTCGTCGTCCCTACTTCGGCTCTGGCTTCATTTTTTCATATTTCTGTTTATTTATTTATTTATTTATTTATTTATTTATTTATTTATTAAGATTTTATTTATTTATTTGACAGAGAAAGAGGGAACACAAGCAGGGGGAGTGGGAGAGGGAGCCCGATGTGGGGCTCGATCCCTGGGCCCTGAGACCATGACCTCAGCCAGAGGCAGATGCTTAACCGATTGAGCCACCCAGGTGCCCCTATTTATTTATTTTTAAGTAGGTACCACACCCAGCGAGCCCGACATGGGGCTTGAACTCATGACCCTGAGATCAAGACCTGAGCTGAGATCAGGAGCTGGACGCTTCACCGACGGAGCCACCCAGGCGCCCCCCTGGCTTTGGCTTCATTTTAATATCTCGCTTTCCTTTTTTCTTTCTTGTCACTCTGATTTCATTGCCTTCTCTCTCTCTCAATTTAATCCTGTGAATCAAAGAGAGGAAGGGCCACTAGAAAGGAGCCCCGCTTATCTGAACTTCTGTCATCTGTTCCCATGTCCCTGTGTGGGTAAGCTGCCATCTTCCAGTTCCCGTCCTTCAAATCCATCTGAATCCAGACCCTGCCTGAATCCTGGTGACCATCTACCAGTCTTCTGACTTCTCACCCACCTTGTCCCCTGGCTGGAAGCAGCTAAAACTCACGCATAGGAAGCTTGCTCAAGGCTCCACCCCAGTCCCTGATCGTGAGGAAAGAAGCGTGCATGGCTAACTCACGTCTCAAGGGTTTCCTTGTAAATAATTAATAGATTCTGTTGCTTATGACAGCACAGTATATGCTTGCTAAGAAAAATGCAAATACAGCTGCGCATAATGTGAAAAAGCACTATTCCCACTACCCCGTCCACTCTCCATGGGTAACCATGTAGGCATCAAACATTTTACTAGTAGTTTTTTCTGAAGGTGTCAAGTTTAAACAAGAGCCTCCACAAGGAGGAAAGGTACTCACCTCCTCTCCATATTCAACCCATGTGTCCGATTCATTCTTCCAGTACCAAATCCATTTTGTGGCAAAGACAAAATTGGTCAGCTCTGTGACAGATGAAGGCGTGGAGATGCGTCGGATAGGATTAAAATTACAAGTCATTTTCTGGAAATCGATGTCTTTGTTTCCGATAGAAAAGCTGAGAGGGAGAGGTTTAAAGTTAACAGAATACTTCAGTGACCTCAATCGTCTACAGTCTGGTCTTCCCTAACAAAAACACAGAATTAAGATCCTAGAGCTGACGGGGGTCTTCAAATTTTCTGGCCTATCACCCAGAGCTTTATAAAGAATTTATATCTATCTATCTATCTATCTATCTATCTATCTATCTATCTATCTATCTATCTATATATCTTTATGTGAATTATATCACACAGAAGAAGAAAAATCTGAAATGCAGAGAGGGTAGGTAAGTTACCTTCTGCATATAGTTAATGATGTCACAAAATATATTCTCTCCTCGACAAATATGCCAGAATAAAATGGGCCCACAAAACAAATGATTGGCTCAATGTTAGAAACTCACAGTAGGCCAGGTTTTTCAAGTATTATTTAAATAGCTACACAATGTGGTCTGAGATCTTTGTAGGAAGCCAGGAAGGTCAAAGTTATTTTCATAATAATATTAAGACATTATTTGCCTTTTTCACTTTCATACTCTCACAGGTGCACAGTGGAGTTTTCCAGAGGCTACATGATGTGTGATTCTACAACAGATTAAAGAGATTTGTCAAAATATAAAACCATGTCCTTCTTCTGAATGAATTTTTCTTGTTTCATTTTGGGAAACAGGTATTATTTACACATATATATATAGTTATTACATATAACTATAATTATATAAGCATAGTTATATAAAAATATGGTTATTTGTTACCATAAATGAGTTTATTATTGTTATTTTTCAATGAACCCATAAATATTGAATTCTTCTCAGTTTTGATTTTGATTTTTTATTTTTTTAAAGATTTTATTTATTTATTTGAGAGAGAGAGCCCAAGAGGGGGTAGGGTCGGAGGGAGAAGCAGACTCCCTGCTGAGCAGGGAGCCCGATGCGGGACTCAATCCCGGGACTCCAGGATCATGACCTGAGCCGAAGGCAGTGGCTTAGCCAACTGAGCCACCCAGGCGCCCCTCAGTTTTGATTTTTAATATGGTAAATATTGACAGCTATAATTCACATAAACAGAAGTTCTCTGGGATCCTTAATATATTTGAAGGCTGTAGAGGGGTCCTGAGACCAACAAGTTTGAAAATTACTGCTCTAAGAAACACCTCCTAAATCAGTGGTTCTCAATGAGGAATAGTTTTGTCCCCCAGGGAATGTTTAGTAATGTTGAAAGACATTTTTGGTTATCACAACAGGAATCTAGTGCATAAAGGCCAAGAATGCTCCTAAACAGCCCCCCCAAAACAAATAATTATCTAGCCCCAAAAGTCAAGAATGCTAAGGTTGAGAAAACCAGCTTCAGATACCTGGGAGGGGGGAGGAGGGCAGAGAAACACACCTCCAAACAAGAAAGTAGCTGATGCTACCCTCTAGTGGCAAAATGCAGTAACACAGAATCTCCACCAAAAATTCACTATAAAAGGATGGCATGTAAGCAATTGCCCCGCCCCACCCCACCCCCGCAAAGAATTTCCTTATGCCAGAAAGGAAGAGGAGGAGGAGGAAGAAACAGAATCATAAATACAGAAAGCAAACTGGTGTTGCCAGAGGGGAGGGGGTCGGGGATGGGCAAAATAGTTGAAGGGGAGTAAGAGGCACAAACTTCCAGTTATAAAATAAGTAAGTCACAGGGATGAAAATTAGCATAGGAAATAAGAAAAAAAAAAAAAGACATTTCTTTTATAAAACTAGGATGCACTTTCTTTTTCTTTCTTTTTTTTTTTTTTTTAAAGATTTTATTTATTTATTTGACAGAGAGAGGCACAGCGAGAGAGGGAACACAAGCAGGGGGAGTGGGAGAGGGAGAAGCAGGCGGAGCAGGGATCCTGATGAGGGACTCGATCCCAGGACCCTGGGATCATGACCCAAGCCGAAGGCAGCTGCTTAACGACTGAGCCACCCAGGCGCCCCTAGGATGCACTTTCTAAATATGGTCATGAGTGGTATCACCCAGTTCACCCCTGGCAGAAACAGAAATGTAAGGTATCCTCTTAGATTCCTCCAGGATAGAGAAAGCAGCAAACATAAAGGAAGATATAAAAATGCTCAAGCAGACAACAGAATTCTGCACTAGAACTATATGAAATTAGTCAACTCATGTTCTACGGCTCTAAAATTAAGCCAGAGGCTCTTTGGAGCTATAATCACTGTACTTGTGTTAGTCCTATTGTGAGTCCACAGTACTACAAACTGACCTCTGCAGTGTGTTGTTCTGCAGGACACAGTGATGATAACTGCGTCACTGTTTATATCACACGAGTTAGGAAACAGTCCCAGAACCCCTCGTATTAGCCAGGCTCTTCGTGACTTCAAATCTAGCTCATGTTTTTCTTCATGAACTCAGCAGGCATCCGCCATTTGTTATCTCAAGAGGTACCTGAAACTTGAATGGGATTCTGAAGGAAAATGGTTTTCTCTTCTCGCCATAAGCCTAGCACTATGCTTTCTTTTGATGATGCTGTGGACCTCACAAGCCAGAGTCTGGCCACCAACTTACGTGCGGATTTGGGGGTCACAATAGGCCTTCTCAATATCCTCCATGGGCTGGAGGTCCATCCAGGTGTTTGCAATCCACATCTGCCACCGGTAAGGGAGGTGGAAGTGAACTTTGTTGCAGCTTTCTACAAAGACAGAGAGGAGGTCTGAGGGTCTGTTGAGCGGGGGTCCTCACCAATTCAACCAAGTTCACTGCTGACTTTCCCCAGGAGGCCTGCTTTTCCCGTCCTGCCAGACCTGCTTGGAAGCCCATTTCCAGTCTACACCTTTGCCCATGCTGGTTCCTGCCCACACTGCCCCACATCCGTATCTTCAGCTCCCCTTGTCACCAATAGAGACTCGTCAGAAAACAAAAATTCCCCACTTCCCAAAGAGTCACTTTATCCGCATGGAAATCTGACATCCTTGTAAATGTATTGTTACCCCCTCTGCACCCCCAAGGGGTACATGGGACAAAATGCTCTCTAGCGTCCACAACTGTATGCATTTCCTTGAAGCCTTGGCCTAAGATTTGGCTCTTCCAGAAAGAGTCACCCTCACTTATCTCACTCTGTTCTGATCTGACTTGTATTTTGTATTCCTTTGGCCGGTACTCAGTACCCAGCTGGTGCTTATGTTACTTATGCATTTATTTATTTTATGCAGTTTTCTCCTTAATGGACGTTTTGATGCCCACCTCCATCATGAACTCACTGAAGGAACGCCGGCATCACTGTGTGGCTTACATCCCCTTCACGTAACTGGCATAGCGCTGAATAGATGACTATTAAATGAGCGCTTGCTGGATAACGAATTAGCGTCACGAACCCATTAATACAGGAATGCAGAAAATAGTTCTGTCTTTGAAAATTTGCATTCCGTTATGTTTAAATCATTTTGAAATGCTCAAAAGATGTGTGATTACTTTATTATTTTTTTTAACATTTTATTTGTAAGTGATCTCTACACCCAATGTGGGGCTCGAACTTACAACCAGAGATCAAGAGTCACACGCTCCACTGACTGAGCCAGCCAGGCGCCCTGGTGTGTGATTACCTTAAAACCAAAAGAGGCAGGGGGCCCCTGGGTGGCTCAGTCGGTTAAGCTTCTGACTCTTGGTGTCAGCTCAGGTCCTGGTCTCAGGGTGGTGAGATCGAACCCCATATCAGGCTCTGCACTTGGCACAGAGTCTGCTTGAGGGTCTTTCTCCCTCTCCCTCTGCCCCTCCCACTCGTGCTCTCTCTCTTTCTCTCTCTCTCAAATAAATAAATAAAGCTTTAAAAATAAAATAAAATAAAACCACAAGAGGCAGGTTCAGACATCCCAGGGAAAATCATAGAGCCGCACTGCCCGCGGTCTGGTGGATTGAAAATTATGCAACCATCCATGACAGTCCATACCTCACGCCCATTAGAATGGCTGCTCTAAAATCAAACCAACACAAAACAGAAGCAAGTGTTGGCAAGGAGACAGAGAAACTTGAACCCTTGTGCTTTGCTATAGAAAACGTAAAACGGTGCAGCCGCTGTGGCAAATAGTGTGGCAGCTTCTTGAAACATTAAACGTAGAATTATCAAAACACATTTTTAATTTTTTTTAAGTTTTTTTTTTTTAATTTATTTGTTGGAGAGAGAGAGAGCGCGCACGTGCAATCGGGGTGAGAGGCAGGCAGAGGGAGAAGCAGACACCCCGCTGAGTGGGGAGCCGAATGTGGGGCTGGATCCTGGGACTCCGGGATCACGACCTGAGCTGAAGGCAGATGCTTAACCGACTGAGCCACCCAGGCGCCTTCCAAAACAAATTTTTTAGATAAACACCGAATTACCATAATATCCGGCAATTCCACTTCTGGGTGTATATCCCAAAAGAAGTGAAAGCAAGGTCCTGAGCAGATCTCACACACCCAAGCTGATGGCAGCATTATTCACAACAGCCAAAAGGTAGAAGCAACTCAAATATCCATTCACAGACGATCGGATAAACAAAATGTGGCACATATGCACAATAGAATATGATTCGGCCTTAAAAAGGAAAAGGAAATTCTCACACAGGAAATTCTCTTTCACAAGGATGAAACCTGAGGACGTACCACAAAGTGAAATAGGCCAGCATCACAAAGAGACAAATACTGTGTGATTCTACTCATGAGGGACCTCCAGTCGTCCTCCTCAGGGAAACAAAAACTAGAACCGTGGCTGCCAGGGACTGGAGATGGGGGGGGAATAAAGAGCTGCTGTTCAAGGGGCAGCAGAGTTTTAGTTTTGCCAGACAACAAAGAGTTCTGGAGATTGGTTGAACAATAATATGACTCTACCCTTACTGACCTATACACTTAAAAATGATTAGGAGAGGGGCGCCTGGGTGGCTCGGTTGGTTAGGCGTCTGCCTTCCGCTCAGGTCATGATCCCGGGGTCCTGGGATCGAGTCCCACATTGGGCTCCCTGCTCAGCGGGAAGCCAGCTTCTCCCTCTCCCACTCCCCCTGCTTGTGTGCACGTCACTCTCTCTCTCTCTCTCCAATAAATAAATAAAATCTTTTTAAAAAATGATTAGGATAGGGCGCCTGGGTGGCTCAGTTGGTTAAGCGACTGCCTTCGGCTCAGGTCATGATCCTGGAGTCCCTGGATCGAGTCCCGCATCGGGCTCCCTGCTCGGCAGGGAGTCTGCTTCTCCCTCTCCCACTCCCCCTGCTTGTGTTCCCTCTCTCTCTGTGTCTTTCTCTGTCAAATAAATAAATAAAATCTTAAAAAAAAAAAAATAAAAAAGAATCTTTTTAAAAAAAAAATGATTAGGATAGTAAAATCTATGTTAGGTGTATTTTACCACAATTAAAAAGAAAAAAAAAAAAATTTAAGTTGAAGACTTAGGATTTCAAGAACACAGGGCAGAATCTTCCTTTTCAGACCCCGGGTGAATGAGTCTAACACCACCAAGGGGTCAAACAGAGGAATCCAGTGTGATGCCTGGGCCCGGGGCAGACGCATGAAAGTGAGCAGGTGGTATCACGCTGGGAGGACAGCCATCTGTCCCACACACAGTTCCACGGGACACAGCTCTGTAGGAAGCTGGAGGGAGGGGATAGTGAACAGGTGTGGCTCCTCGCCTGGAAGGACACACAGTCTGTGGAGTGAAGGACTCTCAGTACACGTGTGAGGAACTACTGCAAAGAGCCCATGGCCCAGAAGAGACACGATGCCTAAAGGACAGGACGTGAACTGTGAGAGTGTGTCGGCGGGCATACTTTTAGCTTTTGGATTTGTTTTTTGTTTGTTTGCTTTTAGTATATGAAAAGAGGGCCCCTGACAAAGTATAATATTTCACTTAAAAATGAACGCAAAAGGAGAAAGTATAATATCAGGCAGTGGTCAGGAACACAGGCTGGCTGGGCAATTTAGAGTCAAAACCCAAGTTGGCTACTCTAACCTCTCAGTACCTCTAGTTTCCACATCTGTAAAATGGGTTAACAACAGAACCTGCTTCTAGGGTTGACGTGAGGTTTAAAGACGATGCACATAAGTTTCTTGGCAATGCACCTAATATACAGCAAATGCTCAGTAAATGTTGGCTTCTAGAAAGTCCTTAAGTTACCCACCAACTTGACAACCCCTATACAGATGGTCAAGACAAATTTCCGTCGAGCCACAATCAACCATCCTGGAAGAGCCAGTACTCTCCGATGCAGAATCTATAAAACAAAAGAAGATGCACGTATGCTGATCTTAGTGTTTAGACCAAAAATCAAGATACCTGATCTCACAATGGAAAAAAGTATCTGTAACTAGCACCATGTTCGAGAAAATTCTGGATTCGTGCATTGCTCATGAGAGCCTAGACAGCCCCTCCATCAAAGCAACCAGGGACGGGGCGCCTGGGTGGCTCAGTTGGTTAAGCGACTGCCTTTGGCTCAGGTCATGATCCTGGAGTCCCAGGATTGAGTCCCGCATCGGGCTCCCTGCTTGGCAGGGAGCCTGCTTCTGCCTCTGACCCTCCCCACTCTCATGTGCTCTCTCTCTCTCATTCTCTCTGTCTCAAATAAATAAATAAAATCTTTAAAAAAAAAAAAGCAACCAGGGACGTTAAGGCCATGTGAGAGGTATGTTTATTGTTTAAACCATGACCCAACTACTCTTGTTCTCAGTAAATGTGGCAGCTTACTCCGCATGGTTCAACTGTCAGTACCTGAATCTTCCCATCAGTCTCCTCACCAGCACCACCCCTTAACCAAACCCTCCAACTCTATGCCCTTTAGTAACTCCTGGGGAACGTCCACAGAGAGGCCACCAGCCACAACCGTTCTGCTGTCGACACAAGACATGGGGTCCCCTTTGTCCTTCGGTGACTTACACGGAGCACATCTTGGGGTCCTTGCAAGCTCACTGGCAGGGCCAACTGAGATTGGGGCAGAGTTCTGACCATGGTTTGCATGGGCTGCGGCTCTGTTGCTTGAGGAGGATGTGGAAGGTGGCACCTTGGACTGAGTACAGACTTGTGGGGTGGGGACAGTGGTCTCCCGAGGTGTCGGCAGGACCTGGGTTTCCAGACTCTGACTTCCAAAGCACATCGCGTTTTTCTCCCCTCTGACTGTCAATGTGAAGTCAAAACCGGTGGCCCCAGTTTTATTGACTTTGGTGGTTTCATCCGCCACTTGACTAGAGCCATTTAGTGTGCCGTGGACAGATTTATGAGCCCAAATGGTCTTCTCTCTGTATGGACCGTTAACAGATGCCGCTGCTGGATCAACATCTGTAATTATGCCAGTCGTTTGGAGATAACTGTGCGTGGTTCCGGTGTCCCGATTCCTAGGCAACGGTGTTTCCCTCTGTCGACTGGGTGCGATTTTATAATTGAAAGGTATTGCGGAACTTATATCCGTGGCCGTTGCATCAACACTATTAAAGAGCGGGACATACTGGACATTTTGCTTCCCACCTCTGCCCTCGGCGTCCACGCCCTCCGAGGAGAGCAGGCCCATGCTCTTTCTGGCGGTTACGGCGTCAGGTGTTTGTGGAGAGCCAGGGGCAGCTTGACTCTGGGGAAACAAACTCTCTCCACCAGTGCCTTTGCCATTGAGCCAGGTTGCAGGGCCCTTGTGGTTGGAAGCAGGTGCTGAATCAGAAGGGAGGTATATGCTACCTTGATCCCCGTAACAGAGATCTTCGGGGCTGCCATTGTCTGAAAAACGCTGGCTTCCTCCCACTTGCTCTCTTCCTCGGAGATTATCCGCCTGAGGCGGGACCAGGGAGGGCTGAGGGCCATCCTGACTTCCCAAACACATGAATTTGTGGGCCAGGTCCTCTACGGGCACGTCATCCGGGGGAGGCCTGTGGCCGATTTGATTTGGAGCAGGTGTGCAGGGCTTCGGAGAAGGAGCTGAAGCCGATGGAAGAAATTCCGTACTTCCCTGAAATGATCGGTCTCTGCTCTTGCTTCTACCTCTGTAGGCCGGGTCTCTACGATAGGCCGGAGGAGCTGGGAAAAGAAAAACGAAACCGGGAAAATGAGCGCTAACAGGTTTGGGTTCACACCGCGGTTCCTCCTCAGCTTTTCCAAGTTCGCCATCTGAGTTCTGTCAAATTACGTGTCCCAATCTGGTGTGTAAAAATCTTGAGAAGGGTGCTAAGGATGATGAAGGAATCTGCTCTTCTGCTGGGGGAGCAGGAAACACCACCCCCACGGCCTCAGGATGAGAGTCAGGGTGACCCTGGCTCTTCTCGACTTCTCTCCCGGGGCCCCCGGTGTAACTCCCAAGCCCCCAAACTCTCAGGTGCTTGTTCACTATGCTCTGGCTCAAAGTCAACGTTCACCACTACGGCAAACAGACGCACAGGAGTGCGAGTCAGGGAGGATTTTCAAGCCATTTAGATTTTGCCCATATTGTGATGAAGGTTCCCAAGCAAATTCAGGATCCATAAATATAAATAAATAAATAAATAAATAAATAAAACCACAGTGTAAAGGTCTGATTCCATTTAAACTAGAACTTTTTCCACAGTTCTTCATCTAGACCCTAAATGCCCAAGCTTAAGTGAGAAATGTCAAAAAGAATTAGCCTCTCTCAAGAAATCTGATGAGTCCCACTCCCTGGGAAGAGGGAATCAGTGAGCATGCATGTTTGTGAGTGTGTGTGAAAGGTGCGTGTGGGGTAGGCGTGTGTGTGGTGTGTATTGTGCTGGGTGTGCGTGCATACATGAGGGGTATATGTGTATAAGACGTATGTGTGTGGTGTACGTGCGTGAGGGGTGTGTGTATGTGAAAGAGATATAGTTGGTGTGAGCAATGTGTCAGTAAGATGTGCGTGTGTGGTATGTGTGGTGTGAGATATGTGTGTTTGTGCGTTGTGTGTACATGTGTGTGGCATATGAGCCGTGCTATTGTGTGTGGAGAAGAGGAGAAAAAGAGCCTTCCTCTTCCAAACTCAGAGAGCAGCAGTAATAGAGTAAAAGCAAACATCCTTCTCCTGCCAACAAAATACTTAATTAAGTAAATTAACCAGAAGGGATAATAAATAAAGATCTCTCTCACGTACAATGAATTTATATTGGGAAACTACGCCAGAAAACATCCCTCCAGAGGTTCCCGTCCCCTGTTCAGAGAGCATTGTGATGTGGGAGAAAAAACACCAGAGGAGGGACCAGAACACATTAGTTCTGCCACTACCTAGCACTGTGAGGCCTTGGAAACATCCCTTTTATTTATTCATAGTAAAAATGATTTAAGACTGCTTGCAATGAAAGTCATTTAAAATTTCTGAGCCTCGGGGCACCTGGTTAGCGTATAGTCAGTTAAGCACCCAACTCTTGATTTTGGCTCAGGTCAGGATCTCAGGGTCCCAGTTTCGAGCCCTGCATTGGGCTCCACGCTCAGCATGGAGTCTGCTTGAGATTCTCTCTCTCTCTGTCCCTCCCATTTGTGCTGTCTCTCTTTAAAATAAAAATCCTAAAAAATAAATATAAATAAATAAAATTTCTGAGCCTCGGTCTCCTTATCAATTAAATAAGGCTAATAATACACCTTTCTTTCTTCATAGCTTTGCTGTCAGGAACAATGATGAGATATTTTTGGTGAAAAATCCCTGGTTAATTATAAAGCATTTCTCAAATATAAGGAGGTGTAATTATTTCTTATGTAATACAGAATCTTCGAATTATGTATTCTATTTGCTTTATAAAATTCACCTCTTTCCCACCCATTTCACAAAGGCTCAAAAAATTGCAAGGGTTAGTATCATTCAACAATGTGAAAATGATTCAGGAATAGACCTGATCACTTCACACCCATCAGGGTGGCTGTTAACCTAAAAATCGAAAATAACACATATTGATGAGGAAATGGAGAAACTAGAAGGAACCCTTGTGCACTGATGGTGGGAATACAAAATGGCGGAGCTGCTATGAAAATGGGATGACAGTTTCTCAAAAAATTAAACCTAGAATGACCACGTGATCCAGCAACTCCACTTCCAGGTGCATAACCAAAAGAACTGAAAGCAAGGCCTCAAGCAGATATTTGTATGCCCATGTTCACAGCAGTATTATTTACAATAGCTAAAGGTAGAAGCAAGTCAAGTATCCAACCGGGGATGAACGGATAAACAAAATGTGGCAACACATACAGTGGAATGTTATGCAAAGCGAAATAAGCCAGCGTCACCAAAAGACAAATAACCTACAATTCTATCTATATTTGGTACCTAGAGTAGTCATATTTGTGGAAACAGAAAGTCAAACAGTGGTTGCCAGGGGTTGGGCGGAGGAGGGAAGGAGGTATTTCATAGGTATTGAGTTTCAGTTCTGCAGGATGAAGTGAATTTTAGAGATTGGCTGCAAAACAATGTGAGTGTACTTAATGCCAATGAACATTCAAAAGTGGCTCAGATGGGGGGCGCCTGGGTGGCTCAGTCATTGAGCGTCTGCCTTCGGCTCAGGTCATGATCCCAGGGTTCTGGGATTGAGCCCCGCATCAGGCTCCCTGCTTCTCCCTCTCCCACTTCCCCGCTTGTGTTCCCTCTCTCGCTGTGTCTCTCTCTGTCAAATAAATAAAATAAAATCTTAAAAAAAAAAGGCTCAGATGGTATATTTTGTTAGGTATATTTTTACCGCAATTTTTAAATTATATATAATATTGTTTATATAGTCTCTTTTTTTTCCCAAAGGAAGGACATGCTATAACACGGGTTGGATGAACCTTGAAGACGTTATGGAAGCGAAATAAGCTCATCACAAAAGTATAAATCCTATATAACTCCCCTTCTGTGACAATGCTGCAGAGGTCAAATTCACAGAGACAGAAAACAGAATGGCAAGTTGCGGGGGCGGGCACAGGAAGGAATGGGGTTATTGTTCACTGGGTATGGAGTTTTAGTTTGGGAAGTTTGGGAAGATGGGAAAAGTTCTGGGGATGGCCGACAACAGTATGAAATGTTGTAACTGTACACTTAAAAAATGGTTAAAAGGACCAATTTTATGTTATCTCTTACCACAACATAAAAGGTAAAAATAAATACATTTTTAAAGAAATAGTACTGAGGACTGTGAATTAAATTGTGTAGAGTTTTGCATTAATGCTGGATTTCCTGTATTAATTGTATTGTGGTTATGGAAGAGAGTGGCCCTGTTTTAAGGAAGTGCGTGCTTATATACACAGGTGTGGGGGCTCCTGATGACTGCATACCTCAAACGGTCTCCCCACAAAAATGGTATACATGTGCATGTCAGTGTTGATATGTGCACAAAGATCGAGAGAAAGTGACAAAACAATGGCGACAAAACGTTATTGGGACAAAATGTTAACAGCTGGTGGAAAAAAAAAAGCTTGATCAATTAGCTTTTAGAAAAATGATCAACATTTTAACAAATTGGGGGGTTGGATAGTACTAAGCATGAAAATCAAATTGCAAAATTGCATATATACTATGATTATAACGAAGTAAAAATTATGCATACATATAAACAATGTCTGAAAGCAACAACAGTTTCACGTGGTGAGATAGAATGATTATAGGTGAAGTTACACTTCCCTTGCGATTTCTGTTTATTTCTGTTTCTTCCATTAAAGAAAACATCGAAAGCAGTTACCTCTGTGCCCGGAGTGTTTCTTTGGGCTGTGCTTGCTGTTGCAGATATCCTGGATGTTTTGAACCACGCTGGAGCTGAGCCCATGCTCCCTCATGATGGCCAACACCCTTCTGTCCATCAGATTATGGGACCTGAGGCAGTTGGTATAACCACAGTTCCCTCGGGTGAAGTGCTCACAGATGTGGAGCCTTTCACACTGTGGATACTTATCACAAATCACTCTTCGACCCTCTCCCTTATAATTTTTGCATATCTGCAGAAGAGAGAAACAAACAATAGCCAGACACAATACACCTTCCCGCATCAGCCACACAGTCATTAAGGAAAGCCTAAGTCAACAAAAATGTTGGCAGTAAGCAGAGATATACCAAAGGGAAAAAAAAAAAATACATGTGTCTTCCACGATCTACAATGAGTTGTATTCAACTGGATGATTTATTTGGGGTAGAAGAGGCCTGCAAACTAACTAAATGAGCCATGAATTTAATAACCTTTTGGACGAATCAAAATAAAATGGCCATGGCCAGCTACAGGTAGGACCAAACAGGACCCAAAGGGAGCCCTACATTACAAAGGGACCCCAAAGAGGAAGGCTATCAAGTCATTCTTCAATTAAAAGGAAGTGGGGGGGGGGGCACCCGGCTGGCTCAGACGGTGGAGCATGTGACTCTTGATCTCAAGGTTGTGAGTTCGAGCCCCACACTGGGTGTAGAGATTACTTAAAAATAAAATCTTAAAAAAAAAAAGGACATGGGGGGTCTTACTTGCAGCTGTTGTCTCTGCTAGGCAGAACGTGACAAGGCTTCTCAAAAGGTCAACTAAAGAAGGTAATTTTTCTATTTCTCTGTAAATAGCTCTGCAAATGTGCAGTTCTTACTGAAAAGAGGGCATACGTATTTCTTACTCAAGTACTGTCATGGGGGCCAGACCGTATGATGCAGGACTGGAAGAAACGGATTTCAAAGTCCCCAGCCACAGCCCTAGAACCATCTATGTGACCTCCCCTGAATTACCTACTCCCCCGTCTCTGTTTCCTTTGCTGTGAAGGAGGAAAAGATTTGCTCTGTCCCCCTAACCCAAGTTATTGAGCAGATTAAATAATAAAATATGTAAACGTGTTGTGCAAAATATAAAATGCGCTGCGAGATGTTTGAATCATTACATAAAAGAATCCCAAAGATCAAAACACTTATAAGTTGTTTCAATAGACTGAGCAAACCAGATCAGCGTGGTTTACTGCAATCTAGGGCTTGAAGTGTGGTCCCCAGACCAGCAACGGCAGCGCCACCTGGAAACTTATCAGAAATGCAAAACCTCAGAACCCGCCCCGTATCTACAGTCAAGAGTCACCAGAGGTGGGGTTCAGCACCCTGGTTTAACAAACCCTCCAGGCGATTCCGAGGCTCACTAAAGTTTGAGAACCAGTGTCCGCCAGAAAAAGAACAACTAGCAACTTCACAAATGACACTTCGGTTAACAATCCTAGGACTGTTCTAATGAGTAGGTAAGAATGCTCCTGGCCTTGACTGGGGCGGGACAAATAACAGCATTTCTAGCTTTAATAAGCACCTTTGAATTTTACAGACTTGTAAACCAGGAAGTCGGGTGTGCCTGATGCTTGTACGTTCTCACAGGGCAAGGCAAAGTGAGACAGTGTGAGCGCTTTGAGGTTTTTAGGGCAGCAGCGCGTCTTGTCCAGGGCTGCCTCCAGGATTTAACTCAGTGCCTACCACCTGCAGGCACTCCTAGATGTTAGTCGAACGAATGCACAACGGCAAATGAAGTGAGACCCAGAAGGATTACCTGCTTTGTGCAAGATCACGCAAGTAGTCGGTGGCAGAGGCAAGACTGCGAAACTACTCAGCTTACTCTTGTGTTAAGAAAGCAGGAATGGACAATATGCAAATGAATGAGTGTGGCTGGGTTCCAATAAATCCTTATTTGTAAAACCAGGTGGCAGGCCAGATTTGGCCCCTAGGCCATAGTTTGGTGACCTTGGATCTAGACTGTCAAGTGACAAAGAAATAAAATTATATTTTCTTTGAATCACTACATTCTGGGGTGTCTTTGGTGCAACAGCTTTGCTTATACCCTCAACCAATATACCCTATTATCTTCCAAAAGCTCAATTCAAAGACCATCTCCTTCCAGGAAGCTGCCTAGATGGACAGCATCCACTAGTCCTACTACTGTATCTTCAGATCACTTCAAATAGGAAGTAAATTGCTGGAATCTTTAGGTCCCTCGGCAACAGCCAGCTGTTGACAGCTATCTGCAGAGCCTGGTGGTAACTTTGAGTCTTTTGTGTTCCGCTCCCAACACATCCATGACACAACGCTGCCAATCATACTCTCTTTGCTGCTCAAACTAAGGAATCATAACTTACCTCGGGCATAAAAAAAGGGTCACTTTGGACGAGGAGCACTGCTAATTCCTCTTTGTTCAGTCCAGAGAGCTCATGGTTTTTCAAGACCTTGAAGTTCTCTTCTGAGAGAACGTTGTGAGAATATTTGCACAAATTCCTGGAAGAAAACAACAATTGTTAGTGTTTCCACTTCACAGAAGTGAAGAAAAACAAATCATCCAGGGAACTTTTCAGTTATCAATTCCCACATCCTCTGGTAACTAATCCTGCTTAGAGAACACACTTTAAAAATATAAATTGATGAAACACCTAGGTGGGGGTATAGGGGATGTATTTTTTCAAAGATAGATTTATTTATTTATTTATTTATTTATTTATTTATTTATTTATTTATTTATTTATTTATTTGAGAGAGAGAGCACGCGCGCACTCTGGGGGAGAAGCAGAGGGAGAGGGACAAGCAGACTCCCCACGGAGCGCAGAGCCAGGCGCGGGAGCTCAATCCCACAACCCCGAGATCACAACCTGAGCAGAAACCAAGTCGGACACTCAACTGAATGAGCCACCCAGGGGCCTCGGGGATGTATTTTTTCACAAATCATACATATCTATATTTTAAATTGTCACAATACTTCTTTAAACAGTATCTCCTCTAGTATACATTACTAGGGGAAGAAATTGACAAAGAATCTAAGATCAATTTATTGGAAATGATTGCCCACTGAGGGACAGAGAATAATTAGGATAATACATCTATGGACTTGGGGCACCTGTCTGGTTCAGTCCATAGAGCATGTGACACTTGATCTCAGGGCTGTGAGTTTGAGCCCCACGTCGGCTGCAGAGATTACTTAAAAATAAAATCTTTAAAAGAAATACGTGTATGGACTGACAATAAAAGTCAGTGAGAAAAGAGATTCCATTTATCAAATTTTTTTTAAGATTTTATTTATTTATTAGAGAGCAAGAGAGAGAAAGAGAGAGCATGAGTTGGGAGGGTGGACAGAGGGAGAGGGAGAAGCAGACTCCCCGCTGAGCAGGGAGCCCAATGCGGGGCACGATCGCAGGACCCTGGGATCAAGACCTGAGCTGAAGGCAGACCCTTAAGCAACTGAGCCACCCAGGTGCCCCTATTTATCAAATGTGGAACAAGCTCTTAGTTGTATGTTTCAAACAACTCTACAGAAAAAGAGACAGAAATTCCTGCACTTTAAGACATTGATGACCTAGGTCCACACTGTCCAAGAGAACACGCTCTATGATGATGGAATTGTTCTATAATCTGAGCTTTCCAAATACGGCTACCAAGTACTTGAAACGTAGCTAGTAAGACTTTGGAAGTAAATTCTCGATTTTACTTTATTTTAATTAATTTAAATTTGAATAGGCACCTGGGCCTAGTGGCTACCATCTGGATGGCAGAGACCTAGGTCTTCGGTGTTCAAAGTGTACTGGGAGAACCAGTAGCTCACCATTGCCTGGGAGCTTTTCAGAAATTCAGAATTTCAGGCCCCACCCCGGTTATACTGAATCAAAATCTGCCTTTCAACAACATCCCCAAATGACTTAATGACATTAAGGTCCAAGAAGCACTGATTTAGATCTCTGAGAAATCCTGATGGCAATGTTGTTTTCATTAGACAAAAGTAATTTGTCAGTTATCAGCATCCACATAACAAACTCATTCCTCTTTTTAACTTACATATGCTACCTACAATTATAGCCAAAGTCCTCAGATTTATGGTTTTAATAGTTATTAATATGATGGGATATTAATATTTTCTAGTTTGTATGACCGTCATCAAATTGTCAGGTGGCTAGGTAATGGCCGACTTTCACTATATAAATAACATGGCTACAATTACCTTTGTACAAATAACCTTCCATCTTCTACAATATTTTCCTGGGATTTATTCCCTTGGGAGTATTGCCTCAAAGGACACAATAATTTTCTTGGCCGCTTGTTTCATTTTGATCTACTGTTCTCCAGGAAACATACCAACAATCTGTGAGTGTGTCTATTTCCCTGCAAGCACACTAACAAGGAGTTTTATCACTTTTGCTACTTCGGTAGGTATGAAATAGACTTATGCTTTTAATTTGCACTTTATTAACAAGACTGAAGTATTCCCAAATGTTGGCTTGATGCTTATATTTCCTTACTTAGTCCTTACTTTCCTTACTTCCTATTTGTTTGTATTTGTTAACTGTTTATCTATAGTAGAGAATGGTTACTGACCTACAGATTTATAACTGTTCTTTATACTTTTAAAAAATTAATCATTACCAGCCTTGTGTATTTCAAATAGTTTTGCATTTTTTCCCTTTTTACCAAGAACTTAATTAAGGTTGCCACTGCTAAATTTTTATATGATCAGACCCTTCCAATTTGCCTTTCATAATTTTAGTACTTGAGAAATTAACTCCCCCACCATAGTGGGATAACTATAATATACCATTTTGTTTCACTTGTAAAAGAGGTATCTTCAACTGTAATTCTTCAAAACATCTGGAACTTATTATGACAAATAATGTCAGAAAGGGACAGAAATGCTTTCCATCAACTTTTCTCAGTAATAATCCTATTCTTTTTTTAAGAGAGTGAGGGAGGAGGAAACGGACAGAGGGAGGGGGACAGGGAGAATCTTAAGCAGGTTCCATACCCAGTGCAGAGCCCCATTAGGGGCTCGATCTCACAACCCTAAGATCATGACCTGAACCAAAATCAAGAATCAGACACTTGGGGCGCCTGGGTGGCTCAGTCATTAAGTGTCTGCCTTCGGCTCAGGTCATGATTCTGGGGTCCTGGGATTGAGACCCGCATTGGGCTCCCTGCTCGGTGGGAAGCCTGCTTCTCCCTCTCCCACTCTCCCCGCTTGTGTTCCCTCTCCCGCTGTGTCTCTCTCTGTCAAATAAATAAATAAAATCTTTAAAAAAAAAAAGAATCAGACACTTAACTGACTGAGCCATCCAGGCACCCTCAATAATAATCCTATTAAATAGGATTCCTTTCTTATTATTCTGTAATTCCAGACTATTGTGTGTTAATCTTGTAACTAAGAACTGTTGGAATCTCTATTGGGATTTTATCCCAATTTGGGGGGATTTTGGGGATTTTTTTGCTTTAAATCTAATACATCTTAAATCTCCTTTGCGCCAGATTTTAAATATTAACGGAATAATTTATCACATCATTGGCTTACTCCTTTTCCAAAAACTCTTTAGTGTGCTTACCTATTATTTTCTCTATAGAAATTCTATTATGGTTTGTCAATTTCCATAAAAACATCATATTGAGACTCTAATTTGTGTTAACTCCATAAATTAGATCAGATATTATGTCATCTTAACTACATTAATCTTCTGATTCTGAAACAGAAACTGACTCTCCATTTATTCAAGTTCTATTTTTCTAAGGGAGAATTAAAATCTTTCTTTTAATAGTTTTCTTTCATTTCCCAAATATTAAACATTTATCTGTTGCCACTATTTTTTAGTTGTCACTAATGAGCAGAAATGCAAACAACTTTGCAAAATTATCTTACCAAAGCTGATAATTTTTTAATGTAAAGATCTAGATAAAAGTTATTCTCTAAGAATTAATCTTTACAAGTCACTTATTCCAGGGGTGCCTGGGTGGCTCAGTCATTAAGCGTCTGCCTTCGGCTCACGTCATGATGCCGGGGTCCTGGGATCGAGCCGCCATCGGGCTCCCTGCTCTGCGGGAAGCCTGCTTCTCCCTCTGCCACTCCCCCTACTTGTGTTCCCTCTCTCGCTGTGTCTCTCTCTCTGTCAAATAAATAAATAAAAATCTTTAAATAAAGAAACAAACAAACAAATAAATAAATAAATAGAAGTCACTTATTCTGGGGCACCTGGCTGGCTCAGTCAGTCGAGTATGTGAATCTTGATCTCAGGGTCATGAGTTTGAGCCCCATGTTGAGTGTAGAGATTACTAAAAAAAAAAACAACAAAGTCACTATTCAAATGCTGCTGTCTATGTGTAAGGCATTTCTGAAACCTGGAATTGCCTTCAGATCTAGCTGTGGAAACTCCTTAAAAAACAAACAAACACAGAATCAATGACTGTGTCTGCTACCATCTGAGCCCTTAAAACCCAACCAGCCCTCCCATGCACTTGGCTTCATAGTCAAGGGCAGCTGATCAGGCTCTGGGAACAGCCTCTACCTTAGCCATTTCCCCAGGCGGGCCTTCAGTGTCTCTGGCACTCCTTGATAAAGCTGATTTCAGCTCTCTCAGCTTGCTTTGGGGTTCTGTGGTTTCAGATACGACTGCTCCCAGCAGTCTCCACCACCCAAGGCCCTCAGCAGCTGGGCTAAGACTCTACCTGATCACTCTTCCCACCCCCCATGGGAAGGGGGAATCTGGAGAGAATCTACAGTTGTTGGTGGTGGGGGAAGGGGGGGTGGCTGTCCTCAGCCTCCAGCCCAGGCAGAAAACCCCTCCATCCCCAGATGAATGGGAGACTCATTAACTATAAGGCCCCTCACTCCACTGGCCAGTGCCATTAATGATCCCCTCACTGAACTCTACCTCTGAAACTAATAATATACTATATGTTAATTAATTGAATTTAAATTTAAAAAAATGATCCCCTTGCTATGGAGCTGAAAATGACCTTCTGTCTTAGAGATACATGACAACTGTTACTGGAAAGGAATTTAGTAATCTTTGCTTTCTCTTCAGCCTCCAACACAGACATCCCGCCCCCAGTACCATGACTATGGCCCCTCTCTTATGGCGAAATTAGGATCCTAGAAGAGGACCCAGCCACTCTCCAGGTCACAGCTAGATGCAGCAATGGTCCTACCCGGAGGAGTAGGGCACTTCCAAGGTCCCTGAAGTCAACACTTCCTTTAAATAACTAGAGGCCACCAGGCAGCCTAATGGTTCTGTCTGGAGCCCTGAGTCTCTAGGCTTTTCCATGCTCACCCAAGACACTCATGCCTGGCACTGCACTGGCTGGGTCCTTGCGGCAGCCTGTCTGAAGGCTCAGTTTCACTTGTCATTTCTCACATTCACCCTCAGGCAAACTGCTCATTCCTCTAGATCCGGGACACTCACCCTGCAGCCAGCTTCAGTCTGCAACATCTATGTCTAGCCTTGGTCTCTGACCGGCAGCCTCCTCCCCGGGAG